TTGGTCATGCCTTTTCTTTCACTGGCCTTCTTGCTGGTGGCTGCGTCTGCAAATGGCTACAGTCAAAGTCTCTGAGCCGGTCCTCAGCATTTGTCCCAAGTGTATCTCCTCTAAACTGCCTGCCTTCTGCAGCACAGCTGATGGGGGACACTTGGAGCTGCTTCAGGGACACAGACAGATGCAGCTTAGGGTGTGATGCCACATCCTTTGCTTCTAAAAGTCTAGAGAGAGGTGCTCAAATATCTGTTGGGAAGGTTCAGTAGCTTTTGTAGCCATCTTGACTGCTCCATTGCTTATTGCAGAGTAACATAAAACACTGGAGTTTTTTAAGGCAAGACATTTTGGAATGACATATCTCACACAATGCTCACTTTATACTGGAATGGATCACACCCAGGACTGATGTGCCTGGGTAACTTGGTTTTCTGAATTATGCTTCAGAAAACATTGAGGAGATCTGGTTTGGTCCCTCCCTTACTTTATGACCTTTTGCATTTAGGAGTCAGCAGTCAAATCTGACACCCCCAAAATACCTGTAATGCTAATAGCAGTAGTAGGAATTGAAGTTTTCCACCTCTTTTCTTCTACAGAACTTCCAGGTGAATGATGCTGCCGTGGGGATGGAAGCAGCAAAATCAGTCTTTTGAAAAGGGCTCCCAAGGGGGTTGGTACCTATGTGTTGATCAACTGCTTGGCATCATCACTACATGCTTGTTTGGGGACCATGTTTGAACTAAAAATACAGGGTGAAAACCATTCCACATTTTCAAATATATCAGCATGGTGCGAGCACAAGCTCTTTGTTGCACAAGCTCTTTGTTCTGCAGACTTGTAGCAGTGATTATACAGCTGTATGGGGCATATTTTTCCTCAGCATCCTTTTGGTCTTCAACAAATGTCAGATTGTCCACAGGACATAACTGTTGTGAGAGAAGGGTACTGGTGGCAGTAGACATTTCCATGTGTTTCAAAATGGATATAAACATATGTGGGACAATGTTGAAGGAGGATTTCAGCTCACTCACCTTCCAAGGAGATGTCTGGGGACTTCGTTGGACATGCAGCAAGGTTAGGCTTAGGTTTTCTTCTTTCCTTAGTAGAAAACTCCTTGTTCTGCTTAATCAGCTTTAGTTTTATGCTCTTCTGCAAATTGGAGAAGAAAACTCTCAGTAACAGCAGTGCCTTGAAATAGGTAAGGAGTGGTATTTCAGAAGTTGAAACAAGTTGTAATTGCTGAGGAAGTGATAGTATTGCTTATGTAAAATGGTGTCCTGTCAGCTTATTTTTACACATGGTGTTTTATGTTTAGCTGGACAGATGTTTATTATGGTTTACTTTTTTGCTGTCAACCACATGGCAGATTGCTTATTTTCTTATGGGTTTGTTTTGAGGATTGGGGAAGGAAATCTATCAACCTGATATAATAGGTATGTTAACCATTAGATAAAAGGAGGAAGAATATCTTATTTTATTTGAAAATACAATAGAGTCAAGACACAAAAAGTTGGACAGGGAACAAAAGTAATAAACATAAAATGCACTGTAAATAAAACACGAGTAGCAGTTGGACTATTGAAGTTGGTGGGAGCTTTGCCATCACTTTAGTGGGACAGGATTCACCCAAGGATGTGGCCCCTGGCTCAGGGTCCACCCTGCTAGGCTACCTGGGTGTGTCCTTGCTTCCCACTGCTCCCAAAGACCTCTGCTTCAGCCAAAACATGGAAGAGCCTTGGGGTGAAGCCATTTCCTACACAGGGTCTGAGTGTCTGGGACTTGCAGCTCAGTGTTTCTCATTGGGGAAACCAGAGCTAAGGCAGGGAGGGGTGAGAGCTAGGCATTTGCAGAACAAAACTAATATAATCTATATTCATTCAGATTGAAGTTTCCGCATCTTGAAGGTGGCTAGGTACCATCTGGTAACATTTATGGAATAATTTATATTGTTTTATGTTATCAGGTCTTCATTATGCCACAGGAATACTGACTGTGCATTAAAAAAAAAAAAAGGCTCATCTTTTCAAGTGAGGTTGGAAGTGGAACCAGCCCAGAACAAAGGGTCACTTCAAAGTCAAGGATGACTGTTTGAGAAGGCGAAATCACAGCTGGATCCAACTTCTAAGGAGGGGAAAAATCATAATCTCCGCCAAAATCACCCTTTGATACACTTGCAAAGATAACAAATGATACACAGAAGGTTTTGGGCAGAGGTGTAATGACTCTGTACTGCATCCTGCTAAACCGAAAGATTGTTCTCCTGAAAAAAATCCCACCTATCTTCATTGAAGGTCTCTTTGTCAAGAAACAGTGAATATAATTGAAAGTGAAAGGTTGCTTTGATACCTGCTGTTTCAAAAGCAAAGAAAACATGTAAGAGATGCTTAGGGAGGTGATCAGTGGCCTGTGAGATGAGTGATAGTGCTGTGTGTGAGGGCCACAGAACATGGCTGCATTGCAGGCTCCCTGTTTATTACCTGCAGGATATAGGAAGTATTCTATTCACAACAGAGATGCTCGGACTTTGAGATGCTTTTTGGGAAAGAGGGAGTTGATATCTTGATCTGGAGTTCATCTGGAAGAGCACTCTGCTGGCATTAAGCCAATTGCAGGATGTTGGTCTTAATTTCCAGGGCTGTCATAATTAAATAGCCCCTCTTCTAAGCAAATTATCCATAAAAAGCAGTTCTGCTTTATTCTTGATGGCCATAGTACAGCTGTGAACACCTGTAGATAGGCACAAGGGAGCTTGCAATTGATATTACTTTGAAATACTTTTCTTCTGGGATACTCTTGAGTGATACGTAAACTTGAAATAATTCACTAGGTAATTTTTTTAGTGAATAAATTGTATGTCCCCCTGCCCCCTAGGACCTTGCCAAGTTCTCACCCTGATCCTCCATCTCTGCACCAAGGCTCTGTTCCTCTCCTGGGGACATTGCCCCTTGCCAACCCTGTTTTTGCCAAGGAAGTGATTTGTCATGATGTGTGTATCTGTGACAAGGCAGGGAATTGGGGACCAGTTACCCCTTCATTTTCAGTGCAGAATTAAAACTGCTAAGTTATGTTTGTTTTACAGGATACCGGATTTTGTTAAGGTAGGTGGCTGTGCAAGAAGTAAGAGGTCTACCATTGTTGTTAGGTAGCATCCTAGAAAACAACAGAATTCATAGGAGATACTCCAGTGCCACAGTCTTCTTGTCCATTTCACCCAGTTCAGAGTTTGTGACTGCCGTGTCCCAGCTTTAGGGAGGTGGGCAGTTGTCCAGCCAAAAGCAATCCTGGTTCAGGTGGAAAGGAGATTTGAGTGAGCAATTTGACATATGAATGCATTTAGGTAAATGTTGCTGTTGGACATGAATAGGTTACACGAACACAGCTCGAGGTGTGGTGAAAGGAAGAGAGAGCTTTATTTCTTCTCAGAATTTATAGGTTTCTGACCACAGCCAGGGATTGGATAGTCAGGGTAACACCTTCCCAACCGCACTGGCCGTGAGAGATGGCCATCAAAGATGTGTATCAGAAAGAATGTATACATATCTATGTTTACAGTTACTGTCCTGGGAAAGTCTTTAGAAAACTATGTCAGCAAGCTCAGAAAACTGAGTTTTCAGGGCGACAGGTAAAGACTTAGGTCTGTCTTCCTGCTGAAGGGAGAAGATAGGAAGATAGAACACTCTTTGTGTGTTGGGAACTCCCATGGTTAATGAAACAAGATTTCTGTAGTATTGGCCTGAAACCTGCCTTTCTTTATTTGTCTAAATCCATGTCTGTTGGGAGCATGTTTGAGAGCTGTTGGTGGGGTACAGTTCCTGACACAGTGGGTTTTGTAAATCCTCAGCCCTAGTTCCTGCAGTTGTAATTACTTTCTCATAGTAGGGGAGTTAGTGTAAAGCCAAGAGAAAGGGATTTAAGCCAGGACTTCGGATCGTTGTCTTGGAAAAGTGAAGAGGATTTTTGGTTTTGTAGTTGATGCTGCGGTGACAAAATTGAAGCATGGATTTAACAGTTGCCTCAGTTAATTAAGTTTCTTAGCATGTATTTTCCCACCTTTTACACTAGGTTTTAGCTGGAGATGATAAAGTACCAGTCTCACTGAACTGTACTGTAAATTGCATTTAGGAGTATTTTTTGCATGCATGTTATTCTCAGTACAGTATTGATGTCTGTGTGCAGTGTGTACTGATGGAAAGTGTTATGCCTCAATCCAGCATTGCATCTAAATAGAAGAACCTTTTCCCTTTTCCATAATTAATGAAGAACCATTTTTAAAGCCAGGCTTAATGGTGCAGTGTGAGTACTAGGGTGAGGCTGTTGGAGCTAGAGGATGCAATCTGAGATGGAAGATGAGGTTCATCCTTGTAGACTGTGGCCACACAGCCTGTAGATTTGTAGAGCAAAGCAGAGAAAATCTGATGTCTGCACAACACATCTTACAGAGGAGGTTGTCCTGGAGTAGCTGTTCCCTCAGGCTGAGAACCCATTAGGTTGGGATGTGTTACATACACCCCTGCAAGGTCCTCGGGTTTAAATTCATCCCAGTAGTACAGGGTTTGGGCATTCCACAAGCTCTCTGCATTGTGTACCAAAGTGTGGTAAGTGGGGCAATTGGGACATTCACTTTTAAAGTACTCTCTTCCCCAGAACAGGAAAACCCCTCTGAAATCTGAAAGACAAAATTTGCATTTTTTAGTTTACCTACTTGCATGTGAGCTGTGATAATGGAGCAGGCTGGGAGCTGGACTGAAGTATTTCCTCTCTGCCTGGATTGCACAAGGTTTGCGTGACTGAGAGTTGGAAGCAGAAAATGCTTTGGTGTTTATTTTAATTCTCCATGGTAGGTCTAGATAAAATGCCAAAGGAGGCATTTCACCCTGTAAAAAGGTGGAAAATGGGAACATTTCATTTGCTGAAATGTAACAGGGCTGTAGTATTATACCTGTGCAGTGATGCTGATGCAGGAGGGTATTGTGGTCTGGATAATGATGGCAGCATCTTTCTTGCAGGCCCAAACAGGAAGATGGAGTGTCAGAAAATTACCAATTTCGGAAACCAGCTTCTTCGTCGGAAAAATGTGGACTGCACTCGAGAAGACAGTCGCCTCTCGCGATGCCTTAACACATTTGACTTGGTGGCTCTGGGTGTAGGCAGCACTTTGGGTGCAGGTGTCTATGTACTGGCTGGAGCTGTGGCACGGGAAAACGCAGGACCTGCCATCGTTATCTCCTTCTTGATTGCCGCCTTGGCCTCAGTGCTGGCCGGACTCTGCTACGGAGAATTCGGTGCTCGAGTTCCTAAGACGGGATCAGCTTATCTCTACAGCTACGTGACTGTGGGTGAGCTGTGGGCCTTCATCACAGGGTGGAATCTGATCCTCTCCTATGTTATTGGTAAGTATGGTGTGTATGTGCAAGACCCTAGCTTTAGCTCAAGCTGGCAGCCTGGTCTGTAAGGTCACCCTTGTTTGGGTTCCTGTGTTACTGTTACAAAATAGATGCTTTGCTCTTGCACTCACCGAGGATTTCAGGATTCAGCAGTGGGATGTGTTTTTGATGGCTCCTGCCAGCTGCTGAGGTGAGTGGTGTGCTGCTGGCTGAGGGCTTATTGCTGCTGGGAATTCCTCTGAATCTCCACCTCGTCCCTCTGGCATCCCCTGGCTGCTGCACACTTGCTAGGGCACAAGAGAGTGTCCTCTCTGCTGAGAAAGGAGCTGCTCACAGAAATATGTTTTTATACAGAGCATCTGTACTCACAGCTGATCAAGGATTAATTCTGGTCCCTTTGGGATCTGTCCAAAGTATCTGGAGATAAGAGTTTTGTCTTGTGAATTGCTGCAGAATTAATCTTGAGATGATCTTCAGGTTCACAGTCTCTGGAAAATACAAACCAAATCCCTTCTAAGCCCTTGACTCCCACAAGGAGACGCCCTGCATCAAGCTCAGAGCATGCGCTGTGCAACTCAGCTGATGCATTAAAACTTAGCCACACTTTGCTAATTAAAGATTCGTGTCTTTTCAAGCACATTCTGGGCAGGCTGCTTGTTATCATGCCTCTCAGGCTGCAACACTCACCAGCTGAGACTGAAAGCTTGCTAGTTAAACTGAAAACTGTATGCTAAATTACTAAAGGGAGTTGGTTTTTTTTAAAATGCATTTTATGAGATTTGTAAGCATTACCTTGGAATTTAGTTTCCATGGTGTTTGGAGGGTAAGATCATATCAAGAATGACATAGTGGCATAGCAGCTGCCTGCCAGACCATGCTGGCTTTCCTCTGTGTGTTACCTGAAGTATTTTTCTCCTCTTCCTTCTCTTAAAAAAAAAAAGAGAGAAGATGAAAAACCAGAGTCAATTAGACTCCTCTCCTTAAGAAATCAGAGTCCTGTAGCTATTTTGTGAATTACATTCACTGCAAGGAGTAGATAAAAATAATTTTTAAAAAAAGTAAGCGTATAATTTCCTCCAGACTTCTGCGATGGACACTGCTTAGGCTACACGTAGAAAAATTGAACAGACTTCCTGGTAATTTTTCTTCTGTTCCAGAAATTAAATGATAAATCGTCTCCTTCATGCCCTTCATCTAGTTCGTTTTGGGGCCCTTCCTACCATGATACTGGACGACCAAAATGAGTGACATAGCCGTGGTTGCTGTCCCAAAACCTGATTCTGCAAATGCACTATGAAAAGTTTTGCCTACTGAATGTTCTGCTCCGAAGATCTGGGCTCAGAGTGGTATTTCCAAGATTTTTTTTTTCCCGCCTTCATAATGGATTTTGAACAACTGCCTCAGTTCTTGTTTCAAAGTTGGCTGCTCACTGTATTGTCACAAGGCAGAAATTTCAGTACAAAATAAGTAGATACTATGCATGAATGTGTTCAAATACAACTTACTTTTTTTTCAGTCCTGTGTCAAGAATGTGTATTTGCAAACTGTCTTTCTCATCACTTGTGAGAAAGAGTGGCTAAGGTGGCAAAACACTGGGGGAGGATATGAGGTAAAGGAGCTCTCTTTATCTTACCCAGCTTTTGTCTCAGAGCTAATTGCCCCTCTTGTGATCAAGGACAGCTCCCAAGAGCTTCTGGGGCGTGGAGGAGAAAGAAATGTTGGATCCCCAGTCAACTCTCTCGATGAGACTTTTGAAAGTGTTTATAATGATTCCTGTACTCTGGGTTAGACACATGGGAGAAATACAGACCAGATAATCTCAAGAGGTCAAAATAACACAAAAGTTTACTGGCAAACTTTTGAAAAAGCTGGAAACCTTGGCTAAAGACCTAGTGCAACATCTGATCAATATAAAGCATTTCTCACAGCATTAATTTAGCCCATCAAACTTAGCACACTTTAAACACGTTCTATTAAGTTACTGTAAATGGTCCTAGAAGAGGGAATTAGAAGAAGAAGTGAAGGACAGAGAAGATACAGAAAAGCACACATAGCTACCAATGCCTGCGTTCCAGCAGTATTCAGATACAAACTTCAAAAGGAAGGTAGGGTCAAGATGTGCTGCATTCATGCTCAGCCTTAAAAGCCCCAGGGCCTTCATGGGCTCTGCCCCCAGGTGGGACTTCTGGTCATTTGGCCATGCAGGAGCTGGGTTAGGCAGAGTGGCACCCTGCCCCTTGTGTGCCAATGCAGGGCTGGAATAGAGGCTGGGGGGTTTGGGGGCAGGGCACTGCCTCACCAGGGCAAAGCTTGGCCTGCTCTCTGACACACACGCAGACATCCCTAAATGTCTCAAGAAATCAGTCCTTCCCGTCTCTGGCAGGCACACGCTGCTCTTCAGAGACAGGGCTTGAGAGGGGCAGAAAACCAATTTTTTTTTTCTAATCTTGCTGAGAAAATGCCAAGCAGTGCATTGAAAATGTGCATCTCTAAGGGGCTCGGCCAGCTTGGTGTTTTCATGTTGAGGTTCTCAGACATTGGCTCAGCAAGTATGAGGTGGAAAAAGAAATCCTAGGGTCCCAAGGATGGGTGGCTAGTAGCTGTTAATTAATTGAAGTGATTTGACTTGGGGGAAAGCTCATGTGGAGTCTTGGAGGTGGGTAATGAGAAAAAAATGGGTGTGCAACTGATCAGTTACAGTCTAGAGAGAAGGAGAAAGGTGTCCAGGACCAGGATCTGATGTGAATTTTCTTCTGGGATGATGTGGGTTTGCAGAACTCTGCCAGACTGTGGGATGCATTTCAGGAACTAGAAACTGGTGGGAGCTGGTAGTATGATGAGTAATAGCATCTCTGGAAAGTAGGTGCTGCTGGGGTTTCCTGGCACCTGGTGGCCTCCTTGCCTGTGCCTGTTCCTGCAGTGAGCCCAGCACCCGAGCTCTGCAGTTCTTCTGGGAGCTGTGTGCTTTAAGCAGGAGCCAAATCCGCTCTGGTGAGGCTGTGCTGACCCAGAACTAGTAAATCCTCCTGGGTACAAGCTGAATGTCTTTGCACTGTGCTCTATAATAACAGCAAGATATTAGCCAGGTGTCTGCATTGTTGCAAGAATGTCAGAGTCCCCTTGCTCCCTCAGGCCTGGTGGTTACAGAGAGTTCCAGATAAATGGCTGTTAGTTATGTGGAACTGGCATCCAAGCAGCTGGCATCTAATATAACACATGCAGGAGCTGGGTGTTCCCGTCCTAGAATGTGAAATATTAGAACTAGGACAAAAAAATAGCGCTAAAATAGTCTCCTTCCTCAAATTGTGCCAAAGCTAACCTAAAAAATTGTAATGTGGTATACGATAACTTCTGCAATTTCTCAAGATTGAATTGATGGCAGTGATGTCCAAACTCTTTAAAGGTGTTCACACTGTGCACTTTTCTGTCTTGGTGAACAGAAGAGTCTCCCAGCAGGTCTGTTCTGCAGCTTAAATTTTTATGCTGTTGCAAAGCTGGATTGGGCAGGTGAGTGTTCCCAGCTGTGCTGCAGGTGCTGCCCACCGCTGCTGCAGAGGATTTGGCTGTAGATGAGCACAGACATTGTTTGACAGGATTGCAGGTGCCGGAGTTGGGACCTGAACACCCACTCACAGGTGAGTGTGGCAGGACAGACTATTCTGGGTGGAAAGGGGCCCCTGATGGCATCCTCTGAGAACTGCTCTGCAAGCCAAAACTAAGCCAAGCTCTTTTTTTAACTAGGTAATTATGTACAGTAATAATTATGATATGCAATTAAGTGCTGTTATATATCGTGTATGTACTGTCTAAGACATTGGGAGTGTCACAGTAGCCACATTAACACAGAAGTTGGCTTTTATCCAAGCCTACTTATTTTACAAAATGCTGTCACTGTCTGGTGGTAGCTCTTCGCTGTTACTGTTTCAGTTCTCTAAAACGACTTTTATGGCCCAGACACTGTCCCCAGCTTGCTTGTCCTGAGACCCTAGGTTCAGTCCTCACCCCATCAAGCTGCAAATAGTTGGATGCACTCAAAGAGAAACAAAAAGCAGCGCCAGAGGGTGGAGCCTGAGCACTTGCTGCAGGCAGGAGCTGTTCTACTTGCTGTGGTCATCACCAGCATTTTGCAATAGGCTGACTTATGCTCAGATAGCATGTAAATTGTATCTGAGTCTTTTTCCTGCTTGGATGCTATAGCACTGGAGGTCAGAGCAGACCTGAGTGTTGCCAGAGTGCAGAGCTGGCCACTGGTGTGGTCCAGGTTCTGGTGCTCCAGCATCACACTGCCGGAGGGCAGCTGGATTCTGTAAGGTCTCTCTACCTGGGCTGCAGTCACCTAACTGGGGCTGCCAGGGACTTCTTCCAGCATTACATTTGGACCTCTCTGGTAACAGAAGTTACTAGGTTTGGGGACAGGTCAGGCCCTTGGGGGTGTAAAGAAAAGGTCAGTCAGGGCAGTACCTAAGGCAAAGTTGAGGTTTGCAAAGAAGTCAGACTTAAAAGGACTTTTCTCATCTTGTCAGCTTAGCATGAGTCTGAGGCCCTCCACCTGTGTGTGTTACCATCAGAGCAGATGCCAAGCATGAATGCAGGCTGTGGGCTTGGTATGGAGAGGAAAGGCTATTCCCAGCACCTGGGAGCACATGCAAGATTGCTTTGAGGCCCTCGGTATTGAAAAACCTTACAAGGCTCCCTCTGGTTTGTAATGTGTGCCAGCCACACAGGGTGATCTTTGTCCTTTCTATCCTCTGGCAGGAACCTCAAGCGTGGCCAGAGCTTGGAGCGCAACGTTTGATGAAATCATAGGGCAGCACATTGAAAAATTTTGTATTAAATACATGACGATGGATGCTCCTGGAGTGCTAGCAAAATACCCAGACATCTTTGCTGTGGTGATAATCATCATCCTGACAGGTGAGGGTCACTGGAGGGTTTTGTGGGTCTTGCACCTCCTTCTTCTGTAATCTCATTGGTTGCTCTTGGAATGAGCAATAAGTCCTGATTTATTTTGAACAACATATTCAAGACTCTTTCTTTGCTACAAGTGTTGGAATGACCTATATAGCTGCTGTGGAGTTAGCACAGGGCACAGACTGTTTACAAGGTTTTTAATTAGAGGAGAGCATTTTCAATATTTTTTGAGCCACTTTTAAAATCTTCAATCAAATTTTATATAAGGAGGAAAAGAAAAGATGACTTGTTATCCTCAATCAGGTATAGGAGTTTAATCCTTCCCTCCACAAATCCTATTACACAAGAATTTCATGCAGTTGGTCTATCAAACTTACTACCCTTTTGATAATCTGCCAATTTTTGATGCCTTGAGCCAGGAAAGTGAGAGGAAAACAGAAAGAGGACTTTGTTACAGTCTCTTATACTGTTTTGTTTTTGGGTTTTTTTAAATATATATGAGCTTCAGTTTGCAGAAGTGAATACAAGACTCCAGAGAAAAAAAAATGTGTCATAGACAGTCAGCGCTTCCTTTTTTTTTTTCTAAAAATGTGCCAAGCCTTTGATCGTAAATTGACAACTTGCAAGATCAAAATTCTTCTGAATGTTTACCTCTACTCCAGCTGGATCTTGCAAAGCATTACCAAGCTTAGGCAAATTTAAAAAACTATGCTTCCATACTCGTCTGTGGTTTCCAGCAGGCAGAAGCTGCAGTGTCACTCTAGCGAGGTTATCCTGACATTTCTGATCAGAATGGCTTTCTCACAGTGTGAGCTGTGCTTATGGGGACCGGCCTCATAAGCAAGGGATGCTTTGGCATTTGGGTTTGCATTCAGAGCTAGGACTGCATCAAGGCCTGCTGAAGCTAATAGCAGCCCTCTATTTTCAGGATTACATCTGAATGGGAGAGATTTTCCTCTTTGTTCATTTGTATGTAATATGAATTGTGCTCATTTCAAATCAGAATCTGGTCTTTCACCTTGGATAGAATTTACAAAATTTAGAACTCCTTACTTTAGCACTGCTGAGGTGTAAAATTACAAAGGTTACTTTATAGTAAGGTGGCTTTATGCTCCCACATGAAGCAAATTCCATGGATTTTAATAAAAAAGGTAAACCATTCTTTTCTAAAAAACAAATCTGCTGAAAGAGCATATCATCACCACAAGTTTTTTTCTGCTTGTACTGCCTTGAGCTTCAGATTTTTAAAAAGTACCTTACAAGTTTTTGTGGGCTGGTATACAGTCTTATCAAACACTTCTCTGATATGGCTGTCTCAGCTTATTTCCTATTTTAACAGGAAAGGTAAGTGAACAGGATGCTCCTCTCTCATTGAAGTCCCTCGGAGTAGCAGTAAAAGAACACTTCTCCCTTGGGCCCATGTGAAATTTTTTAACTTGTCCTTCAGCCTTAGATTTGAGTTAAAAGTTTCAGTTCTTAAAAATCAGAGACCTGAAGAGGAAGTTAAGTGAGCTTGTTGACCTGAGAAGCCAAGCTATGCTTCAGTGACATTTGCTAAGGCCTGTAGCCATGATCTTCTTCGGACAGATGATCTTAAGACCAAGCTGAAATCCTGCTCTCAGTGAACTCACTGGCAAAGCTCTTGCTGATTTGAGTGGGAGCAGGATTCTCAAGATGCCACCTTCTTCTTTGTCTTCAGCTCTAGAAGTAGCTATTAGAAGTGGAATACTTCTGGATTTGGTCCCTGCTCATATTTTCCCGTTTCTAAGGAAAGTTGGGTGTTGTTCATAAATTCTGCATTTGGCCAAGACCTCTAAGACAATGTTCCTGTATTTAAAACCACTTGTTGTGCTTTCTCTGGGTCTCTGTATGGAGTTTGAGGCCGTGGGAGTAGTTTAAGTGTATTAGCAAAGCACACCAGGGACACAGTCCACATGGGCATGCTGGGTGGGAAGGTGTGTCACATTCTGCAGTTATGTCTGAGCTGGAGTCCTCATCCTACTTCTGGGTGAGTTAATCCTGAGCTACCTGGCTTTGTGAAGAAATAAGGTGTGATAATTTGGGCAGAGCACAGCATGAACACAGTTGAGCTATGTCTGTGTGTCTGCAGCACCTGCTGCTGATGGTGAAATACCTGACCTGTGCCATTTTTTCCTCAGGGCTTTTAGCTTTTGGTGTGAAAGAATCTGCCCTGGTGAACAAAGTGTTCACCTGCATCAACGTCCTTGTCCTTGGATTTGTCATGATCTCCGGCTTTGTGAAAGGATCTGTTAAAAACTGGAACCTGACCGAACAGGACGTTTACAACACCAGCCACAGCATTTTCAAAGACAAGTCGGTTGGATGTTTTCTTTTCATCTCAGAAGCTGGTGCATTTTCAAAAGCAAGTTTAAATGGGGGGTTTTGGACTGAGTTAGAAAACCAATGAGTGGGATGGCTGCCTCCTTTGCCAGATACCTTGGAGGCAAAGCTGTCTTTGGTGGGTGTTTGCTGAAAGCAGGCTTTGCTGATGGGCTGAAAGTGCCAGGAGTAAGCTGTGTCATCGTGGGCCCTGCTGCAGGACTGACCAGATCTAGCCTTATAACCAGTATAGCATCCAAAGTTGAGACAAAAGAGCTCTTTAGACAGTGTCCTACTCAAGTCTGCACCAGGCCGGCTCTAGTGCCTCTATGAAGCCATGTCCAAGTATAGCTGTGTACTTTTTTGAACACTTGGGCAATATCCTTAGGGCTTGGTTATACCACATAGAGACCTTGTCCCAAATGCCTCAATAAAATGAGGGCAAGTTGCAGATTATTTTAGTGCATTGCAGCAAGCATATTATAAATCTGTTTTTAATGACATTTTGCTGCTTGGCCAAAATTCTGTCATCCTACACAAGATCAAAATTAAGGCGCTTACAAGGCTTACTAGTGAGACAAAGCTATTAGTTTTTGCTTGAGACTGTACCACACAGAATAAGGGCCTTTAAATGTCTCCTCATATATCAGCTCAGTCCCGGCTTGCTACCTAAACCCTTTATGATGGTCTGCAAGGAAGCACAGTTGGGCAAAATCTGGTGAGATTCATAAATGTTGTGTGGGTCAAATTTATCTTGTGTAAAATAAGCTTCTTGATCCTCTCTTCAAAATTCAACCTGCTGCAAACAAATTGCTTCTATAGGACAGGTTCCCTGTCCTTCCCTCCTGCTATTCCCATGCAAGGAGAAATTACTGCAAGAGTTTCAAAGTATGAGTGCAGCTCTTTGACCTGTAGGACGTACTATATTTGTAAAATCTGTCTGGGGTTTATTTTATCATTATTTCCAGAGTAATCCACATTTGGGTTGTGCTATTTTTATAGGCCAGTTTTCATCTAGGTCTCAGCAGAGCTTCTGTGAGAGAGTTCAGATGCTTATACGTGAGAAGACTTGCAGATTTGGGACTTACTTAACTGCCTTAATTCATCTTTACAAAGGCTTTTCACTGAAAAAGTGACCTAAGTCACTGGAACCGAAGGGTATGCTTGTTATATGTCACTCAACACAAGGCACATGGATCTGGGGTCGCAATCCAGAGTGAACTGGGATCTGCCTGTGTTTGTCTGTTGACTTAAATGAATTTTGAATAAGGCTCAGCAAAGTATTTGGTGTGTCAGGAATCCATGCTCCACTTCTCTCTCACAGGCATGGTTTGAGTATGAGCTTGGCACAAGGAATTTGGAAGTTGAGAATGGAAGATGGGGTGGATTTTAAACAATCATGGCACCCTGCATTCCACTTCTGTGTCTGCTCACCTACCCTTAATCTGAGTCCATCTGAAGTAAAAAGTGGGTGGTTCACATGTTTCTCAGTCTTCAGCTTTTCCAAAAGCTTCTGTTTAAATGAATGTATGTGACTACACACATGCAGTAATGTTAGGAGAGGATTTTTAATATTCATGCTATTTTTATCCACTGCACAAAACAGGTGGTGGGAACAAGCCATGAACCATTTCTATTGCATGCATTCCCCAGGCTCTTTCAGGCCGGTCCAAAGCTCAGCAGTGGGTAGGACATAGCATTTTGCCTGGTATTTGTGTGTGAGCATATGAAAGGGAGAGCCTGCTTCTACAAACTTTGGCTTTGGATTTGGTTATGAGCTGTGTGAATAGCTTTGTGATTCCCAGCTAGGCAGGATCACTTCTAACCCAGTGCCATGCCTTTCAGTCAAACACAGGAAGGAAAGCTCTACGGTGTTGGAGGGTTTATGCCCTATGGATGGAAAGGAGTTCTCTCAGGGGCAGCCACGTGTTTTTATGCTTTCGTGGGATTTGACTGTATTGCTACTACAGGTAAGAGGAAGATGTCTTCATTCTGGTTGTGAACCTGGCTGCTGGTAGATTGACTTTCAGTAACATTGCAGAGCACAGATAACAGGGAATTCAGGACACTGCATTTGTTGTCCCTCTGAACCTCTGCTCAAAATAGGCTTTTGGCTCAGCTGCTTCTAATAGTGAAAGTGCTGGATTTGTTGAAGTCCTTGAGTGCCTGAGTGCTGACTTGTAGCTGCTGTGGCACATGGATAAACTATATAATCATGAGCTTCCTCTTGTCTTTGCCTACAGGGCCCAAGCTTGTGGATGGTCAGTGATGACACTAACCAGGTCAAATTCCACAGAAAACTTGTCCAGGTTTACCAGCTAGGCAAACAGGGAAGGCCCAGTTTCACATGCCTGATATGAGTTTGAGCCTCTAACTCCAGATGATAACTTTAATCAACAGGTTATTCTGGAACAGAGTTCTTCAGTGCCTTCAGCTGAAAGAGCTCTGATGGCTTGGAGTATTTTAAAGATCCAGAGAAAGAGGAAGCCTCTGGGGAGTCAATGGCACCCAAGAGCTGTGCCTCAGAATCAGGAGTTTTTACCTGTAAAGGTTAAGAGGTCTCATTTTGAGAGAGAAGGCATCAGCATAGTCATATTTCTTGGGGCTAAGTTGAATCTTAATTCCCTGAAGAAAGGATTATCCTTAATTTCACATTTGACAAGAAGGGTTGAAGCAGAGGGAGAAGGGAATCATCACAGACAGATAAAGCATTAGTGCATCTTGCTCCAAGCAAGGAATTGGAGAAGTGTTGGCTCCATTACTCCACCTAACCCTTGAGCCTCTCCTGGGAGAAACATTCATCTGCTTTTGACTTGTAGGTGTATGGATCTGTGTTTATCAGTTCATCCCGCTGAAATGCTGTTCCTCCGGAGCTTTTGCTTTCAGAGAAGTTCTGTAGGACTAGGAAAGCGCAAATCTGTTCAGTAATTGATCAGTGCCTGAATTTTGAGGAATTTTGTTTTTTTTATACACGTTTTGTCCTACTTTTTTGGTTGTTGAAAATTTTCCATAACAACTACAGGGGGTCCTTTTGTTAAAAGGCATTTTCAAAGATCCATATGACTTTCAGGCACTCTGCCTTTCTCTGGAAGTGGCAGATGTTACTAAAATGGACATCCACAGATTTCCCCTACAACTGCACAATGATATCTTGTTCCATCATCTGTGATCCTTGAACTCTTCTTGGGTCTGCACCATCAGTAGGATAGAAGGAGTAGGATAAAAGGATGATGTTTTGAGGAAAGGACTGTTTTTAATCCAGATTGTTTCTGTGCCTGGGTTTACAAGGCTTCCATGAATGTGTGTCAGAAGAAGTGGCAGGAGCAGCAGAAATGGGAGCAAACAGGCTGTGGTATCCCAAGTGGATGGAGCAGGCCATCAGCATCATGGTCAAAGAGCACCTCTATGCCCATGAAACCTTTGAAAGACCCAGCCAGCACACCTGCCCTAGGCTGGGATAAAGGTCTTGCTTGTCATTTAGCTGATATTTAAATTCCTTTCTTCTAGGTGAGGAGGTAAAAAACCCTCAGAAGGCCATTCCTATTGGCATTGTGGCATCTCTTCTCATCTGCTTTGTGGCTTATTTTGGTGTGTCGGCTGCCCTGACGCTCATGATGCCTTACTACCAGCTGGATACCAATAGCCCTTTACCCAATGCCTTTAAATATGTGGGTTGGGATGGAGCCAATTATGCAGTGGCTGTCGGTTCCTTGTGTGCACTTTCTACGAGGTAAGACACTGCTCTTCATTTTTGTATCTCTCAAGGCAAACATGTACCTCCACCTCCTTTAAGAAATGGAGCGGAGACCAGGGATGAAATTCAGAGCTACTGACCTCAAAAGGACTGGGATTTCACCCTGTGGTAGGTACCAGAGAAGCAGGTGACCAGTATCACTTCAGAAATTTCCATATTAGCAGAAGACCCATCAGGTGCATCTCAGGAATATAAATCTGGATTGAGTCACTAAGTCACAGAGGCAACTGTGTAATGCAAGCATGGTTTGGGTGCAAGACACCCTGGCCTGCTCAGTGGAGAGCAGATTTGTGTCAGACAAGGCAGGGTACATCTTCAGGAGCTCATGGGGCTTACCATATCCAGGGCCATCTGTCTGCAGATTACCTGCAGGACAGCCATCTGGATGGGAAGCAGGGCAGGCTGGAAGCAGAACATGTCACCTCCTGAACTTGGAAGACCTATTTCAGATCAGCTTAGACATTCTCCATTAGGTGAGCAACTCGCAGAGGCTTATAGAAGTTACAGCTCTTTTACTGCCTGAAAGTCAGGCTGGTTTATGCCCCGTGGCTAAGTTCAGCTACCCAAAATTGTAGAGCTGCACCTCAGTTACCAGCTATCAGTAACATGGGTGTTCAGAGGGAGCCCTTGAAGGAGAAGCTGGAGAGAACAAAAGCCACCTGTTCTATAGTTACACTGCCATAAACTTGCTTTCACTTGTGTGCCTGTTCTCAGCAGGAGGTGACATAAGTAGATTATTTCTCCTTCCTGTGTCTGCAGTCTCCTTGGCTCCATGTTTCCGATGCCTCGAATAATTTATGCTATGGCAGAAGATGGACTTCTCTTTAAATTTTTGGCTAAAGTCAATGAGAAGAGGAAAACTCCTTTAGTTGCAACAGTGACATCAGGAGCTACTGCAGGTAAGATCCAAAGACTTGCACGAATCTGTGAAAAGGAGATTAAGCTCATCTTAAGGGCAGATAAGTCCACCTGACTCTAGCCCACTTACTAATTGGATATATTGCAGAACACAGCATCCCAGAGGGTGTCCTGGATTTCCAGGGCATGCCCTGGAGAGTCTGGGTGAGCATGAGTAGCTTGCTGTGTGCTTGTCCCTCTTTCTCAGAGCTCATTGCTGCCATCCTGTCTCATGCCAGGAACTACCTTTATCTGCTCAGCCAGCCTTAAAAGTAATTAATTCCCTGCAAGGTAGCAGCCAGTGGTGCCCCAGCATCCTTGTGGCTGTTGGCCTGGCTTGGCCGAAGACACGGCACCGCCCGTGGGTGGCAGCTCTGCAGAGGATGCCAGAGCAGCCAGAGACTGGCAGATGGCCCCTGTGCCATTGGCATTTGTTAATCAGTCACAGCTGGCAGCTATCCTGTTCTCCTCTTCCTTCTCCTGGCCCCCTAGAAATATGGGAATTAAACCTCCCAGACAGCAAGGGTGAGCAGCTTACCCTGTTCTTGCAGCCTCCCCCTTCCTCATGACACCTGGCAAAGAGGAGAGCCTTGCTGTTTCCTCTTTACCTTCTGCTGCAAATGCAGGATGAGCCGTGGGTGCGAGAATGTGCCACCTTTGGTGGGGAGTTGTGTCCTCCTGTGAAAGGGCTCAGCTCCTGCTTCTGGGACTCACAGAGTCTCCTCACAGCTTCCTTCTCCCACAACTTCCTCTTCAGGTATTCTTGGCTCTGGACCATGATGGGGTAGGAAAAAGGGCAATATAAAGTAATACAAAAAAGCTTTGCAGTCTCATCCAAGTGGTCCATAGTGTTTATGACTAAAACAAACATGAAGCTGCAGGGACAGCATTTGCCAGCTGAGTTTGAAGGTTGGGCTAGTTGTTGGGCTCCAGGTTGTGCTTTAAGGCTGGCCTGGGCCAGGCTCAGCTCTGAGGTCCCTGCACTCTCATATGACTGTTGGTGTCACCTGATGTCTGACTGTGTGTCTTTTATCCACTTACTTGCCTTCTGAAAGCCTTACACAAAGTCTCGTACAACCAGGGTTACCTGGTGAGGGTGTGTAAGCAGGGTAATCCCTAAGGAATGGCAGCCTTTTTCTGGAAATCCCCATGATATCTGCTTCTTCAAGATGCCTTCTTGGATGCTTGGTTCCATTGCTTGCTCAAGCCTGATTTCACCCCAGCTGAATTGAGACATCAGGGCGAGGGGTTGCCCATCCTCTGTTCCCTGTAGCTACTTCCAAGAGATAATTGTGACTTAAAGAGTGTTGCAGCTCCACTGGGGGACTAACAATGAAGTTGTGGCTTAAACCCCTGCTTTTTGTTGGTAGTTGGGCGAACATAGCTGTGTGGGAACCAGAATTTGTGGACAAGGCTGGAATTTACCTAGTAAGCATTTTCTGTTGTTTCAGCTAGTGAGGCTGGGACAGCCTGTGGAGTCTTAGGGTATTCATGCAGCAAGGCCTGCCTCTCCTTGTCTTGAGATATCTTGAGCTCCCCTACCAAGTCCTGAGCAAGAGTCATGTGTGCTGCATCGTTATTAATGCTCCTGAAATGTGCATGTTCTGCCATGTTGCTGATTTTTCTTCTCTCTTACCTTCCTCTCCTCCTACAGCTGTTATGGCCTTTCTCTTTGACTTGAAAGATCTTGTGGACCTCATGTCCATTGGGACCCTCCTGGCTTACTCCTTGGTAGCAGCCTGTGTGTTGGTACTGAGGTAAGAATGTAGAAGCTTTGTCTCTTGTTGCACACAGAGAGAATTCCACACAGCAGTCAGATGTTTTCATAGTTTCTGTGGGCACATCTCCAGCTACAAGCATGTGAAGAACTTGTTTCTTTTAAGCTCGTGGGGGACTGTGTTAGTTGGATCTACAGGGAGGTCCTTTGAACTAGCTAACCCTTGTTCCGTACCAGTCCTGCTGTGGTCAGCTCTAAATGCCCCAGGAGATGCACCAAGGGTTAGTGAGGAAAGATGTGTGATCCTGAATGCCTTCAGATTCCTAGACCACTCTTGTCCCCACCAGTGGGGATATCATTTCAGGTTGTCCTCCTTTTGAAAAGGGATTTGAGATGAAGTCTAGCAGCAGGAAAAGAACAGAGCATGTGTTTTCAGGACCAGTGTGTGTCTTTTAGACGTGCTGAACTCCCACAGCTTCCTAAACCTAAGCTAAAAATCTCGGGTCTTCAGTTCTTGGCGCCTTACAGACAACAGCACTCGATTAATGAAAAAAAATGTCTGAAGATCATATTACTGAAAAATACCTTTGTGTGTTGAATGACTTATTCAGAATTGGAGGCTTTCACAGCAACTGCACTGAACTAAGAACAGTCTTGCAGCGGGTGAAGGGCTGGTGCTGTTTGGTAGTACCATTGCTTTGTGTTTGTGCTTTCCTCCCTGCCCCTTGAAAATTCTTGCCGATTTGCCTTGTCCATCTTAAGTTTCCTGATTTCCCAGCCTACTCTTTTTCTCAGAGCTAAAGATGGCTTTTGAATTAGTTTTTGCAAGCTGCTGTACGTATTGCATGGCATTTCCCCCATCATGGGTTGGCAGAGCCGAGAGCCTGTTTTGTAGTGGCCTGGGCAGCTGATTTGTCTGCCCCTTAATGGCTTAATGATGTAGCAGTTGAATTGTTTCCATAGCTGTAAGATCTTGCCACTAGTTTATTTCTGTAGCTGGACACAAGGATTTCACTGCATTTCACAATTCTCAATGTTTAGCAAATGCCTCATTGTGAATGCATCCCCACAGGAACAGTTTTAAGGTGACTTTCAAAGTGGCCCAGTCCTTTAGTCAGACTTGTGGCTAAGTAACTTGACAAAACCTTCTGTAACAGAGAGCTGAGGCTGGAAGAGTGCTTTCAGTGTATGGATCCACATTGTGTGTCACAGCACTGTTGAATGTGCTGTCCACACATGCGACAACCAATCTTGCTTCAGCTCTTTCTTCCCTTTAGCAGCAGACAAGCTGGCAGAAAGCCTGGGGTGGAGGAGTATGGGACACCAGGAATGTTGCTGCAGAGTGTGGTACCTTCAGAGCTGTTAGCTCAGCCACCTCCTTGCCAAAATGCAGGAGCTGAACTGCTGCAGGTGACACAATGGCCTGGTTATGACCATCAGTCTGTCCCTCTGCTGTTTGCTTCTCCTGTCACTCAGTCATGTCTTGGTGACATGAAATGACAGAGTTCATGAAAGGGAAGCACTGTCCATTATAAAGCAGTTATATTACAACCAAGCTGTAGGTGATAAGAACTGGCCATATTTGCTTACATCATGATGACATCATTCCTCAAATTTCCCCTTGAAGCAGAAGGGTATAGATGTGACATGAGCCTGTTCTGGTGCTGTAAAGGTCTGGCTTGCAGCCATGACTATCTGTGTGGCTTTTAAATTAGTGGTACCTTCATCTAAAAGTCAAACTAACAAGCTCTTTGTGTCATTTCCTTTTCCTAGGTACCAGCCTGAGCAGCCTAATTTGGCATACCAGATGGCTAGGTCAACAGAGGAGACAGATAACAATGAGTCTGTGAGCACCAGTGAATCGCAGGCTGGGATTCTGCCAGAGGAAGAGGAGAAGTTTTCCATCAAAGCCATACTGTGTTCCACAGATTCAGATCCTTCCAAATTCTCTGGTTTGGTGGTGAACGTCTCAACCTTCATCATTGGTAAGTGCTGGGCAGTGTGTCTTTGGGGCAGTGAGTTAGTGGTAGGGCTTTGTATTCACCTTGCTGGGAAAACTCACCTTCTTGATGTGATTTTGATGAGTTCTTGTAATGGCCAGAATAATTGAAGATTAAATTTCTGACTTAAAAATAAATCCACAGATGGAATGTGTGGGGGTGTATAGTGGGAAAGGTATACCTGTTATGGTTAGGGTTTTTGTGAGTCGCTGTTTTGTTTTGTTGTGAGCTTTCAGATTCTGCTTTGCCTGCTTATAATTTATTCTTGGGTTTTCCCTGTATCCAAAAAAAAAAAAAAAAAAAAAAAAATCAGTAACCTTTGGTGTCTGTTCACAGGTTTCCTTATTGTGGGTATCTGTATCCTGACTTCCCTTGAGCCAAACATTCTGATAAACACTGTACAGATTATTGCTGCCATCCTTGTTGTCACTATCATCTTCATTATACGGAAACAGCCTGAAAGCAAAACCAAACTCTCCTTTAAGGTGAATGTCCTGGGACATGTAGCTAGAAAAGAGGTGTCTGGGAGGTGGTTGGAGGAGGAAGTGCATGTGTTGGCCCATATCAGAAGGGGGGCACTGGCCAAATGGACATGCATATAATATAGGCATGATGTGAACTTTTCTATCCAGGAGATGCTGGAAAGGCAGAACCTGCTGCAGAGGTGTGGCTGGAAGGGAAGGGCAGGACCCTGCATTTGAAAGTAGATGGTTATAGGACTGGGAAGAGACAGAGACTGGAGGAAAGGGGATGGTTGTGAAGGGCCACGTCAGACCATGGATACAAAAGGAGAAAGAACACAAGAAGTAAACTTGTTTCTGAAGAGCTAAGGCTCTGAGAAAGTGCACTTCCATGTCCTCCTTAGTCCCCATGGAGGCTACGGGATGATCATTCTCTCTCAAACAGCCTTAAGTATGAGGAACTTTGCTGTTTTCCTGTCCTCTCCAAGCACACCATCCTTTCTATATTAAACACACTGGGATGGGACTTTTCTTCCCATGTAACCTTACAAGTCATACTTTATCATACTGATTTCAGGTTTATTACAATTTCTTAATGTATTACATTAATTTTGGATTATAATTCCATCCTCTAAACTGCTTTCATTTCAATTGCTCTTCAATTAAAGTTTTTCAGTAAATTCACAGATTTTAATAACTTAACACAACCGGAGCTTTCCAAGGTTGTGTTTGCAGCTCATTTTGGGGTTATAGTCCCAAAGGTGGAAACAAAAATGTCTGGAAGCAGAAAAGTTAGGAACTCTCATCTAGATCTTATTTTCTGAAAATGCTTCTGAGGAGGTCTGTTCACCTTTGACTCAGGATATTTCACCTCCTTTTTTTCCCCTATTGGCCACTACTCTGTCCAAGAAAATGAAGATTATACCTGTCACAGCTAAATCTGTAATCATAACATCATGGAATCATTTAAGTTAGAAAAGACCTTTAAGATCATCAGGTCCAACTGTTAGCCCAGGACTGCCAAGTCCACCTCTAAACCGTGTTCCTCAGTGCCACATCTACATGTCTTTTAAACACCTCCAGGTGTGATGACTACACCATCTCCCTGGGTAGCCTGTTCCAATGCTGGACAACCTTGTTTCTTATCTCCTTGCTGTTCTTTGGGCATTTACAACCTGACTGTGATTTTTCTCCAAAATCACTCTGGAGATCTAAGGCTGACCTATCTGTTTCCCAGTTGTTTTTCTGTATTTTTTTTAATATGTAATTTTTCTACCTTCTCCAGTCTTCAGAGACATTGCCAGTCTACCAAGAGCTCTCAGAGTTGCTTATTTAATAGTTCAGAGATCACTTCTACAAAATTTAGAAAAATAGTCTTCTTTTCTAATTTGTGTACCTATCCTTTTTCTCTAATGATGTGAGCAGCTACTTTACGTATTTTTTTTTTGCAAAGCTTCAATCAAGAAAGGCCCACATTTCAGCCTGTTTGTTTTCGTAAATTTCCTTTTCTCTTAGGAGTGAAGTTCGCTTTCCACTTAATTCCACCATATTCAAAAACTTTTCTATTATAATTTGCCTTGTTTGATTTTATATTTGCAGTGCTATTTTTTGTATTATTTTTGCATTTTGGTTTTGCTGTCTCATTCATCTTTGATTCTCAGGCCACTAAGGCATTCTTGGTACAGCTCTAGTCATCTCTTGCAGTATTTGCTGATTTTCTTTGCTTTGGGATAATGTGCTCTCTATTGCTTCACTGCCTTGGTACCTGATGGATGAAGTTCCTCAGGTTCCTGCTCTGACATTCCCCTTACCTTCATCTCTTGGTCTTCAATTGATGAAGCTTCATGAGCTTGTCATGATACAGTCCTTGGTTTTTACTCTTCTCTTCTTTGCCCAGCATTTAGTATTGCCATTAAAATTTCTCTCCTGCCTCCTTCTAGACCACAAAACAAGCTATTAAAACAGGTGAACAGCATCGTTCACATCCCCCTCCTATGGTGGACTGATGTCCTTTTGGGTTTAACCTTGCCTTTTCTCAGATCTGGCAGCTGAAGAGTTGGTAACAACCATCACTTGCCATTTAAAAGGGATGTGATGTTCTTTCCTGCTCATTAATCATCCTTGTAAATGTCACATATCTCCTGTTCTTTTTCAGGTACCTTTTTTGCCCTTTCTTCCTGTTGGGAGTATTTTTGTGAATGTTTACCTCATGATGCAGCTAGATGCAGGCACATGGATTCGGTTTGCAATCTGGATGCTCCTAGGTGAGTTAAGAGTGAAAAATGCTATGCTAGATTTTTAACAATAGAGTTATTGTAGCATTTAAGGGAGGGATTCTGCACTCATCCATGGGCAACCCTGTGACTTGATTGAAGCCATTTAGCTAGCGTGTAACAAGCTTACTTTCAAATTCAAGGGTCTTGAAGCCTTTGTGTAGACAAAACAACAGCCCATGAACCATCTTATGGGTCTTGTTGCCAACAAGAAATCATAGAGCATTTCTTGCTGGCTGGGCTTGCGCTGCTGTCCAGGTGGTGGGGCTTGTGCTTCTGGAGCTGAAGAAGCTGAGCTGCATCCCAAGATGCTCCCAGCAGCCATGTAGGTAAGGCTGAAATGCTCAAATCAGGATCCCCTTAGGGGCTGGGATAGACTGACTTTTAAAGACTGGTGCCTGTGTTAATGGCTCTTTTCCCTAAGGAAGATAGTGGCTTTCTGCTAACACTTGGGTAACTTGTGTCAGTGGCTGTGAGTTGCGGTTTCTGTTTCTTTACAGAGCTAACAATGTCCTCTCCCTTGGCTTCCACAGGCTTTATCATCTACTTTACCTATGGAATATGGCATAGTGTGGAAGCCAGCTATGCAGCCTCAGCAGAAGTGGAGAGAAACACAGACACTGGCTCAGACAGCTGTAAATGACTGTTTGGCTTATGGGCGACTGGAAGAATGGCTGCAGTAAAGAAACTTTGTGGTGGCGATCCCAAACCAGATGACACCTGTAATCAGTTATGCAGGAATAAGGAAGTGGAATGCAGGCCTCCCCAACAGTTACTGCAGCCTGCAGTTTGTTTAGCAGCACAGTTAAAAGGGACCACAAGATAAAAAGACACAACTCTGGCATATTCCCAGCAGCACTGGCAGCTCATGTGGGGCTCTTCCCTCTCTCCCTCTCCTGTTTTGTTTTTTTTTTCCCTGGTGTGTAGAAAGAGAACTGCTTCTGTGTGCAAATGCTGCTAAGAAACCAGGCCTCACAAATGTCCTTCTTTCAGTAGTCCCGGGAATTACCTCCCCACAGATACTCTACTTGATTATACATGGAGCAGATTTTGCAGTGCTACTGTCAGGCATAGACCAGGATCCATCCTTCACCTTATATGAGCTGTACCCTCTGTATACAAACAGAAAAAAACAAAAGGTTCTCACCAAACACTATATTTCACCAGGCTAACAAAGCACCTGCAAGATTTGCCTTCTTTAAAGTATGTCTTACCTTTTTTGTTTTATTTAACTGGGTTTTTTAGCTACATGCTCACGTGCTTTAAAGCACGTCACTGCTGTGAAACATTGGCAAGGTTTGTGGTCGCTGATTGTCAGGTGAGTGATTGCTTGCCAGCACACAGGTAACATCAGCGGGTGATTCTCCCAACTGTATGCTCCACAGAGGAATTTCCAACTTTAGTCAGGAAACCATGTGGTGCAAGTACTGCAAAGGCTTGAAAACAACAGGTGTCTCCAAAGAGCAGTTCTGCCTCTTTGCCTCAGAAATCACCAGTGGTGTGGCTGTAGTGGTGGGGGTGGCCAGCAGAACTGAGCTAGCTGTGACAGAAAGTGGAGCCCTCTGTTCCTCCCCCCACATCAGTTTTGTGTGCTGGCTGCCTGGCATTAGCAACTTTGGTTTGGCATTGGTGGGTGGGGCACATTCCTGCCCTGGGAAGGGAAGCACAGGAGGATCCTCAGAGACACAAGGTTCTTACAGGAGCAATGCATGGTGTCTGCCCCCTGCCCAGGGGAAGCTGTGGCACTGTGTACAGGCTTCTCAGTCCTGGCAGAGCCTAGAGCCCAGAAAACACCATTAAGCTCTAGGGTCTGATATGCTGAGGGGAGCTTTCCCTTTGGGGCTGGGGATCGTCTCCAGAGCCTGCCTGTAGTGAAAGGTGGGAAACTTGGAGTTGAGACCAGGGTCTGTATTTGATTGGCAATGCCTTGGCTTGGGCTGTAAGGTGGTTTTTTGTTTTAATTCTCTCTAATAGCTTTCCCTAGCCAAATTAATCCATTACCCTAAAAAGGCTTATTAAAGCACTGTGAAGGTGAGCCATGCCCAAGTAATGCCACTGATCTAAATTAACACTTCAGCTTGTACTGAAAAACAAATCATAGAATTGTGGAATGGTTTGGGTTGGAAACGGGCCTTTGAAGATCATTTGGTTCAGCTTACCTGACATCAACAGGGACATCTTTAACTAGATCAGGTTGCTCAAAACTCTGTCTAACCTGCTCTCAAATACTTCTGGGGTCAGAGCATCCCAGATAGATGCTGCAGAAATCCCCTTTCCCGATGCGAGTGGATGCTTTCCTAGGTGTCCTTCATACTACTGCCTCTGAACACTGGACAATCTTTAATTTGTTTGTCAGCATGGCTCTTGCTGATGAAGCAACAGGCTTTTGTACCTGTAATTGAGTTGGAGAACTGAACAAACTGAACAGACCCCTGCATGACTTGCCCAGGGTCTCACCAGGCATTTGATGCAGCAGAAGGGGGAATCAGACTATCTCCTGGATTACATGGTTGGATTTTGGACCATTTCTTATGTTTCCAAGAGACTTTATAGCTTTTCTGCCTACTGAAGGTTTTTAATCTTTTAATTCTAGTACATTGGGAGGCTCTTCTTGTCAGGATTGGAATTTGAGGAAGTGAAGGCAATGTGTTCATTGCTCTGATGTGCACTTCAGGGTGTGTTGAGTGCACCTTGCCCCACAGAATGAAGTTGTGGGCCTGCTCCAGTCGCTGCGTCTTGACCATCCACCACGCCTTTGCTCCTTGTGCATATACAAAGTCTTATTCAAGCAGGGAGAGATGAATATAGAAATTAAAAGCCATTAAGTTGAAGTCTATTTTGTTTAAACACAGGCAAGGTCAACACACTCCACAGCTTCCCAAAAGGCACTGTAAATGTGGTGGGAGGGCAACAAGATGAAAACCAAGGCAGGATCAAAGTTTCATATTGTACTGAAAATATAAGGATGTTTTTCCTACCTGGCTACCAGCTTCTGTTCAATGAAAACATGAAGCTTGTGTCCTTGCCAAAGCTTCATCTGTGCTGTGCAAGCCTGGTGAAAAGTCTTTCAGGAGGATGTTGTCAGTCACATTCCCAAGGTGGTATATGACCTGGTCCCTTTTTAATCCTTGTGGCAAAGCCTGAGAAGTTCTGTGGCTCTCAGCAGGAGGGCAAGGTGAAAGGGGCAGGGGATGGGATGTTGAAACTGAGTGAACTGGAACATTGAGGAGTTCAGGTGTTTGCTGATGAGCCTGAATCACTGGCAGAAATGTTCCCATTACCATATGCTGCAGCATGGCACTTTAATAGAAACGTTGTAGACCACAATCACTGTTCTGGGAGCCCCAGTCATATGGGAAGCATCCTAGAAAATGAGTCCATGGAAACTCATAGCATGTGAGCCTTTGTTATGTAGCGCAGCTGACCAGCCCTGCTGCCAGGAAGCTTCTTTACCTTAATGGGGTAACCCTCTAATGCAGGGGGTTTTGCTTTGTTTCCCATTCATCCCAGTTTCTGTGTGCACAGACAACACGGCAGGACCTGCTGATCTGTATGCGTCAGCCCACAGGTGCACTGGCGCACGGATTTATTATCAGGAATATATTACACTTATCTGTACATCATACTTGAAATAATACAAACTCTTCCTGTAACCATTAGCCACATAATAAACGGGACCACAGAGCTCCTGCTGCATGGGAAACTGTACAGAGGCTCCTCAGAGTGTCCATGGGACACAACCACCATCAGTGCAGAGACAAAATACCTGATTTTGCACTTGATAGTTTTTTCTTTCCTCCCCCCCCCTGCCACCACCACAAGCCTTTGCTGCTGTGCATCAACTGAGTCGACCCACCTGTGCCAGCAGTCACTGGAGGTGCAATCCCAGTAGGGTGAAATGGTACCTTCCCACAATAAAAAGGAGTTTTCCATGCCCCCCTGCTTGCTGCTGGCTCTCCTGCCATCCCATGGCTGATACCTGCTCCCAGTGCTTGTCTCTGGAACCCCTTGGGAGCAGCTGTAGACTGGTTTTATTGCTGCTACACTCTCTGCATTAAGTAAAGATTAACAAAATCAAACTGCTTCCTTAAAGACAGAGTTATAAAACCCTTTCTGCTTAGCACTGGCTACATTCCCTCTACTGCCAAAGGCCATCCTATTTCTAAATGGGAAAGTCCCCACAGTGGCCATGGCGTTGGGGAAGTTTCCAGCCCTGCAAAAGCAAACACTTCCCCTTGCTTGTCTTTGAACAGGGATGGCCAAGGTGCATGGACCAGAGCTACGGCCCCTACCATGCTGGGAATGCTAAGCTCACCTGGCATGGTTGGAGCTCCCTGGCAAGAGCAGGGCTTACCAGCTTGGCCATGCATCCAGGGATCTTCATTCCCTGGGAATGGCTACCCCATTAAGGGGCTGGTCCCTTCCTCCCACTGTCCAAGTGACCTGGGCTTTTCTTTTGCACCTACTTCAGCATGCAGAGGCGAAGAAAGGACAGAAGAAAAGTATAAAAAGGAATAACCTTTTTTCTGGAAAAAAGTCTGTTTCTGGGCATGCACCAGAAGGAGCCACTCTTCACACTCCCTACAGGGACGGGTTGCTGGGTCCCTCTGGTTAGGCAGAACTTCCTGCAGCTTTGCTAGTGATTGGCCAGGCCCCAGAGGGTGTGTCAAAGAAGAATCCAGTGAGAGGCAGGATTGGGAGGCAAAAAATCAGATGGGAAAGGGATTTGCAATGATACCAAATGATGAAGGAGCTGGGTTCAGTCCCAGTTTTCCCACTGTAAAAGCCCCACTCCCAATTCACTGCTGGAAGCATCTCTTGAATATGAGATTAAACCAACAAAGTGATAAGGAAAGCACCAGATATAAAGGGGAAAGATGAACAAATTACAACAGGTCCAGCCAGACTGTCCTGGGTCAATAATATGCTTTAGTGCATTTAGAGTAGCATCAAGGTAACAACTCCAGTTTACATCTCAACCATTTTTACAAAGGGTAAAAAAGGAGAATCCTAGAAACTACTAACAAGTCACTGACTAATCTGATGATGTTCTGCAGTGGTGTGACCGTGTTGGTGAGTGAGGGGTGAGCAACTGATGTCATCTACCTGGGCTCTGCAAGGCCTTTGACATAGTCCCACACAGCATCCTGAACCGGGGAGACATGGCTTTGATGGATAGAAGCTGGATATGGAATTGGCTGGATGGTTGCATCCAGAACAGCTCAGTGTCCAAATGGCGATCAGTAAGAAGTGGTGTCCTTCAGGGGTCAGTATTGGGACCGATACCGTGTAATACCTTAAATGACACAGACAATGGGGTCAGGTGCATCCACAGCAAGTTTGTGGGTTGACACCAAAGTGAGTGGTTCAGTTGGCACACTGGAAGGAGGGGATGCCATCCAGGGGAATCTGGACAGGCTTGAGAGGTGGGGGCCATATGAACATCGTGAGGTTCAACAAGACCAAATGCAAGGACCTGCACCTAGGTTGGGACAACCCTTGGTATGAATACAGGCTGGGGGATAAAGAGATTGAGAACAGCCCCGCTGAGAAGGACTTGGAAATACTGGGGGATGAGAGACTGGACATGAACCAACAATAGGGTGCTCAAAGACCAGAAAGTCAATTGTATCCTGGGCTGCATCCAAAGCAGTGTGGCCAGCAGGGAAGGGAGGGGATTCTGCCCTTCTACTCCACTCTTGTGAGACCAAACCTGGAGTGCTACATCCAGCTCTGGGGATAGAAGGGCATGAACATCTTGGAGTGGGTCTAGAGGAGGGCCACAAAGGTCTTAGAGGGCTGGAGCACCACTTCTATGGAGACAGGCTGAGACACTTGGAGTTGTTCAGCCTGGAGAAGAGAAGGCTCAGGGGAGATCTTTTAGCAGCCTTCCAGAACCTCAAGGGGGCCTATAAGAAAAATGGAGAGAGACTTTATACCAGGGCCTGTAGTGGTAGGACAAGGGACAACACTTTTAAACTGAAAGAGGACAGGTTTAGATTGGACATAAGGAAGAGAAATTTTACAATGAGAGTGGTAGAATACTGGAACAGATTGCCCAGAGAAGTTTGGATACACCATTCCTGGAAGTGTTCAAGGCCAGGTTGGATGAAGCTCTGAGCAACCTGGTCTAGTGGAAAGTGTCCCTGCCCATGGCACTGGGGACTGGACTAGATAAGTCTTAAAGTTCCCTTCTAACCCAAATCCACCCTATGAGTCTGTGATCTCACAGTATCAGAATTACTGGATTCTGATGTTCTGTATTCTAATCAGAATTGGTGGAATGAAAGATGACAATGCTGTAGGTGTTGCAAATAGCTGTGCAGTTAGCAAGTATCAAAATGATTAAAGTTGTACTTGGCAAGAAGGGGCTTTGTGTGCATGTGTGTGCTACGTATCTATCTTTAAGGTTGTACTTGCTGGACACACTAAAATCTAGCAATGCATTCCAACAGTAGTAGCTGGTGTGGCATGATCTATTCTAACAAGATGCTCAATTTACTCAGTATCACAGTACCATGCAAAAGCTGCTACAAAAATAAATTTCTCTAAAAAGGAGAAAAAAAATCATCTTTCTTTTTAACACTGTGGAACAAGCCACAGGTGCTTTGATGGTGGTTGGAGCTGTATCTAAGCTGCAGTCTGTGAATCCTGAGTATTTCCCAGGAAAGCTGAAGCACAGCTCCCACTCCAGCAAGATGGAAGGGCTATGCAATACCACCCCTGTGGGTGCAAGACCTGCTGGTGCCACCACACACCCAAGTGAGAAAGCGACCCTCCCTGCAGCACTCCTGCACCTCAGGGATTTCTTCCAGGTGCAGTCGCCCTGCTAACTTTGACCCCAGTGCACAGAGCAGGCCTGCATGCAGGCTCTTTGACCTAAGCTGGGTAGAAAAGCATCCCACAGACCTCTTTGTTTTTTAAAATTATGCTCAGGGATATTTTTATCTTGTTAGCAATGCCCATGAGGGCCCTGCAGACAGTGTCACCCCAACTACTCCTTGGCCTCACCATCCCCTCAGGGGGGAGGTCACCCCAAGCCTGGGTGAACATTTTTGCTTCTAGATGGGAAAGTTAAAGGTAGTTTAGCCACTCATTTCCATGAATCTTCAAAGTGCTCTGTAACTCTGGGTAAGCTGTAGGAATGTGAAATAATGCAGATGTGTGGAAGGAAAGAAATTTTGACCTCATCTGCATCTATGAAGTCAGCTATGCTCTATTTGGCATTTGAGGTGGAAGGAAGCTAGAGCCCTAGCAAATGCCCAGGATCTCATCTTACTATTGGAAAACTCTCATCCGGCAAAGGCCAAGGATAAACAACTTACTTTCTCCTTGCTTCTGGGACTTGAAATAAAACAAAATGGACAGAAACCTACAGCCAGAGATTTTGATTGCATCCTAACCACAACAAGGTAAAACAAGGTAAGATCTGACTAGGATTGAAATAAAGACACAAAAGTTGAACCATGTTAACCAGTAACCTCTACCAAATTTGCTAAAACTCTCAGTTTTCTCATCTCTAGCCTATCTCCACTTACAATATCAATGCTAGGAGTTAAAAAGCAGTGGATGGTATGCATATATTTTCTGGTGTTCAATGCAAAGGTGATGGTTTCGAAGGCAGTACTGTCTTAGAATTTCAAATTCGCTGGTGTTCATGTTACATAGAGTACCACTTGGTGGTCACTTGGAAGGCGCTTCTACTTCGGTTTAACTTTCTTCTAGGTTGGGTATAAATATTCCTGGGAGGCTAAACAGAAATGCATTTTGTTTAGATACAAGTCTTAGGCACGAGTTAGAAAACTGCTGACTGTAATGAAAATATATCAGCACTTAGTAGTATCCAATAATATAAAAAATGTAATTCAGAACATCTGCAACTAGATAGATATGTGTGTGCGTCTATATATAGGTATAAAGGTACGATACGTACATGTATATAAACACAGACACATATACAGAAATATTCACAACTTGAACTATATTTGTAACTAACCTGAAATACTGCAGCAAAAGTTCATTCTGATGAACCACTAATAGAGCATTTCCCAACTTTTGGCTCTAGCCGTACTTAAAATGTTCACACATCAAACTAAACCTTTTGCTATCCTAACTTTCTGCTGTTCTAGTTCTTGGCTATCTTTTTTGCTACCCTAATCAACATGTCAGAACCAAGAGTTTCTATATGGAGACTGTAAGAGTATCCTGCCTAGTGTAAAGCTATGCAGCTACTGAACATGCTTGCGGCCATGAACCCTGGGCACCTGTTGATGGTAGTACTTCCTTGGATGGTAACAATTTGTAGGTTGGAAATGCATAAAAGGCAGGGAGCTGTTGGCACACGGCTGCCGATTCATCGCCTCAAGGTTCTGACTTTTGCTGGAGAGGAGTTCCCTGATGAGCAGCGATAAAAAGGAGTGGATGGTGCGGGTGGGAGTTTGACGGGGCTCACAGCATCTCCCTCCTGCAGCTTCCAGAGGAGCTCCTCGTTAGTCCTGCTGAGCTTCTTCTTCTCCTCCACTTCTTTCTCAACATATTCTTGAAGATTTGCATTCTCCTCCGACAGTTGCCTGGAGAGAGAAGCAGGACAACATGTAAGGCAGTCCAGGGCAAAGATGGTGGCATTCATGCAGCCAGGGAAAATCAGGACATTGAGCACCTCCTCCCCTGCCCTTGCCCCTGCCCCTGCCCCTGCCCCTAGGGCTGCAGCTGAGCTGCAGAAGCTGTGGCACAGCTGTCCCCAGATCTTTTCACTGCTGGGTGAGAAAGTCATCTCCACAAGTCACAGCTTCCCCCAGTGTCTGATTCTGCTTCCAGATGCATCTGTGTCTTTGCTCTACATCTCTTTGAGGCATCTCAGCTGCCAAAACTTAGGTGGGATGAGCCCCAGCCTTTCTCTCTGGCCTTGTGGCACTTGTGGAGTGTCAGAGTAAGTGCAAAAAGGGGAAGCAGCAGTTGCTTCTATGGTTTTTCTACTCACTGTTACGGTATGCAAAGGAAAAGCAGTCTGGTCTTTCCATGCTCTGAATTTCAGCTGATGCCCTGCTGCAGGACATAGCTCAGCTTTGAGGCTTTCCCTCTACTCTCTAAAACATCATGAGGTTATGGGTCCTTCTCCAGCTCCTTTCTCCTTGGTCCCAAAATAGCCTCTATTCCTGACTGCAACACTAGAGAAACTTCACCAGTAATGACCAGGGAGGTGATTCTCCCCAGAATTACCAGTACCTTAGTGGCTTTTTTGGAGCTGGGGCATGGAAATCTCCTATGGGCACCACAGCCTTAGTGAGTCTGCACTCATCAACCAGGTGACTGGTTTTGAAACAAATGGGACAGAGCAAGTAGGCTCTGGGACCTGATCGAGATGTGTTTTGGGCATGTGCTGACAACACCTATGTCCCAAAGGATGCATGCAGGAGCACCAGGCTTCTGCAGCCCCACTATGCTTGGGCAAGAGCCAGCTCCTCAACCTGAGGCAGCTCTGGCAGGCACCTAACCTGATTTACTAGCAATTTAGGATTTTTATAGAAATGAACAGGGAGGAACCTAACCTTCCCCTAGGTGTTTTCAGTGTTCAGCAGCAGCTGGGTGTAGATTTTGGATGCATACAAAAAATTCTGTACAACTGGTTTTCTGGGTGTAGCCTGAAGGCTGTAGCATGTCATGTCATGGACTGCTGGTCCACTCACCAAAAGTCTATGAGTGGGTGGGGTTGGCATTTCTGATTTTGTTTAAAAGACATTTTTAAAGAATTTCTGCTTTTTTTAGCCTCAATTCCTACAGAAAGGTAGCTCAGGTAATCAAGAATAATTCTCTTTCTTCTCCCAGTCCCCAAAAGTTCTGAACTGTGGAGCAGTGCCTAGCAGAGTTGCTTTGATCTCTTGGGTGTTGGAAATTATCATTCTTCAGACATCCCCAGTCCGAAGGACCAAAAAAATGCTGGTTGATTTGGAGGGAGGATCTGAAATGCCGGGAGATCAGATGATTTATTCAAGTGCTTGGGGAAGTCCCAGCAGGGGCTCTGTGGAGTTCCCGCATCCAAAACTGGGTCATGATCTACCTGAAAGGCTCTTGTCCTTCCCTTTGTACCTGCCCTTGTCCTTAATTGGAAATATCTCTGTGGTGCACCCCGCACACCCCAGTGTCTCTGGAATATCCTCCTGACGGTGCTGCAGAGACTGGCTTTGCTCTGTCTCCCCTCCCTTCTCTCACTGCTGCTGGGCTGCCACAGCCTCTTGGGCACCCAGACTGAAAATTGGCAGAAACAGCTCTAATCCGGGGCAGCTCCCTGAGCTGGTTCACTCTGCGCTTCCCAGGCGGTGCCAGCACAACAGAAATCAGCAGTCGGGGTGGTGCCAGGAAAATGCATGCTTTAAGAGCTCCAACTTTAAAGCCCTGGCTGTCCCTGTAGCTGCCCCACAGCTGTCCCCAAAGAGTCACTTGTTGAAAATTATTCTCCTTGAAGTTGACTTCCCAGGCTGACCTCGAATTCAGAATTTCTCCTAAAAGGTGTTTTGAAAGGCAGTACCTACACAGTTGCAGGCAACAAGCAAAGTGCTGCAGCTGGATGCCAGCAGGGAGTGGAGGGAGGGTGCTGTTCTCCCAGCCAGAGACAGGGAGCTGCAATGCAGAGATGCCAAGCACTGAACCAGGCACCCTGGCTGCTGCCAGGCGTGGAGAGACACTGCCACTTCCAGGCCACAATTCACCCAGCCCAAAAGCAGGTGTCTCAAACTGGTCTGGTGAACCAGACCTTAAAAATACCCACTTTTCCTCCCCCAGCACAGAAATGCTGTGGACACCCACCTCAGACAGTGAGATGTGTACTACAGGTATTTTACAATCAGGTGAGAGAAAACATAATCCTCACCCTGACCTGAATGTTAGTACAAGCAATGCTGCCTTTTAAGAATATCTACATGCTGGAGACAATTTCAAAAGGCTGAGTCATTCAGAAATGAGGTATGAGAAAGACGAAAACTAAAATGAGAGATGAGACACTGACAGTTAATAAAATTGGCTAAAAATTAAATTTTTGGCCCGTGGCATCGTTTCTGGATGCGATGACAGCTAGGTAGCTGCAGTGCTGGGACAAGACCAGCTCTAGTTTGTCCCTCTGGCACCCCTTCTTCCTGGCTCCAACTGCGGTCTCCAGCATTATGGCATGAGATAAACTCTGGGACAGGTGCTGTCCTACCCTGCTGTTTATATGTCACCTAAGGAGGAGCCTTGTCACCCTTGTAACATTGTGACAGGGTTGCAAAAATGCAGTGCTGATGAACAAATCTGCCAAAGGTTAATCCTGTCTGCATGACAATGGCATCATTAGGATGTCTTTCCTAAGACTTCCCCGTTTCACATCCTCATTACCCACTGACTAATGGGTCTCAGGGCACTGATACTGAGATCAGAACCACTGGCAAGCTTGTTCTCAGCAGCATGTCAAAATCATGGAAATACACAGACAGATATACATGGCCTTCCTTATGTTAAAGGAAGCAAACCCCAATATAAAAATATTTTTTTAATAAAACAAGCAGAGCAGAACACAAATACATTTTCAGGAGGAAATAAGTTTTTTCCCTTCTGAAGTAAGTGTCGGCCTCTGACAATTAAGACCTGGGGCCTCCTTTCAAGCTCAGATTACAAATACCAGCACAAACCTTGTTATGACAGTATTTTGCTCAATCCTGGCTCTGAGTTCTTCATTCTGCTGTTGCAGCATGGTGATCTTTTCTTCCAGTTTTAAATTCTTTTCAACCTGCAGCAAAAGAAGGATTGTTAAGTCTGAAAGACACTCAGCACCTTATCCAAGATAATTTGTTCTTTATTAGTCTATGGAGCATCTTCTAAAATTTGAGGATAGGTGGAGGTGGTTTTCTTGACTTCAGCTGTGACTTAGATATCTGACTCAGAGCACCACATCATACTGGTGAAATACCTGGGGCCATCAGCAGAGCACTGAGCAGGGGCAGAGCTGAACCAGCCCTTCCTTATAACTGAGGAGGAGGGTCTTAATTTTGTTCAGCACAAATAGATGTTTTCCTCAGTGGTGCTCCCACAACTTTTGTCCCCCAAGGAGCCAGCGTTACCAGATGTTAGAGAAAGTGCTGGTGACACTTGAGGAGCACCCAGCACAGAAAGCTGCCCAGCATTGTGGTATGAGTGATCAGTCTAGTGATGAAGGAGGAGTGCAAGATGGGATGATGTACATTTTCCAGACATTACAGCCTGACATCCAGCCTCTAGGATTATGATTCCTCGGTTATGGAAAGGAAAGAGTCACCCACCAGGGCAGATAATGCCCAGCAGCAGCCTTAGAGTGCAGCTGCATTCTCTTGAGGTAGACTGGCCTCTGGAGACTCTTCTCACTTCTGCTGACAATGTCGCCTTAAATGACAGGCTTAAACCAGACATTCAACTTTAAGCTGTAATTAATTGAAATTAATCCTGTCCCAAGCACAGGTAGCTTTTATTCAGCACAGTTCAAGGGCAGAGTTTGAGGACATCAGTATTAGAACATCAGTAAGATGTTTACAGGCCTGTTTCACAGCCTCAGGTGCCGTGTTTTCCCCAAGCTTTGAATTTGACATACTTTATCACCTTAGTCCTTGGTTTTCCAGCAGTTTGAATTTTGCTGAATTCAACACTTTTGAAAGAAAACAAGATAGCAGGGTAACCTTATCTCTGTGTGAGCTTGGTTATTGAATTTCCCAACCTTTAATAAAGAACCAAAATATTGTGCACCGGGAATAGCAATAACTCACACTTAATGGTGGAGACATCAGTTTTAGGTTGTGTTTTTTGTGGTCTATTCAGGTAAATGTAAAGGATACTCATGATTCTCAGATATTCTGGTCTGTCCCAGTTTATTTTGTTAGAGCAGCACATAGATTCTGGCCCTGTTTTGAAATGTTGAGAGAGGAATCACCATCATGGGCTCTCTCTCTGCTTCTTCAATACTTCTCACAAGTAGTAGCTATGCCACCTTCATTTCCAGCCTCCCTTTCAGCTGCCAAGGAGACAAGGCTGACCCTGTGTTTGAAATGCCCTCTTGCTCCCTTGTGACACCCCACAGAATTTGGAGATGTCCTGTAGGTGTTCTGGCACTTACAAAGGTATATCTTGAAATGGAAAGCAGTTGTGCCTATGGGACACAGCAGACCCACTGTTTTACTGTGATGAAGGGCAGGAACAGGACTGTGCACTTGTATGTGGTTAATGAGCAAAAGCAGCTAAATTACCAGGAATTATATAGGCTGTTGTTTGGGATTTTCTTTTTCCCAGTATTTCCAAATGCTGGCTTAGCTCCAAGAGTAGCACATTGGAAGGAGCAGAGATAATAAGCCTCAGTTGCAAAGAGGCTCTTTTCTCTACATCCACTTACTAAAGCATCTGTTCAGCAAAATAATCATCAGAGTTCTCAAATTTCCCTGTAAATGGGAACAAATCTTGCTGAATGCTGTGCTGAACCAGCTGCCACAGCTCCCAGCTGAGGTATTGCCTCATCCTGTCTCCACACTGTATTTTACTGTCACTGCAGGTTATGCTGTACAAAATTAATCCCCTTTCCCACAGAAAATGTAATTGATGGTGAACTGGGGAGTTCTGCATTAGGGAATCCCACAAGTAAAGGATGAGAAAACAGCACAGACTGCAGAAAAGTATTACTGGAGGGCTGGAGAGACCTTTTCTGGAGTAAACCTTTCTAGGGACTGCTTGCTGAGTATTGCTAATCCACACATGACTCACTAAATGCCTGAAGGAGCAGCAGCAGGACACACCATGGCCTCATCTTCCTTCACGTGCCCTCTCCAGCCCTAAAGGCTACCTGACTCCTGTAGGGGCATATGGTGCAGGCTGATGTACCCTGGACTACCACAAATTTCCCTTTCCTCCATTCTGCCTCCATCACTCACCTTGCTGTCTAACCTAACATTATGAGCAGGTGCTGTATGAAGGAGCAATCCAGATCGAAGGATGTGAACTTCTTTGACTCTGTCTTTCCCCAGCCTTGTGTGTACTTGCCTCTTTTAAGTTCATCTGCCTTTATTACCTCTGCGATGTCTCCTCTGTAGGAAAAATGACAACTCACCTGTTTTTCTAGCTCCATAATCATCTTCTCCTGCTGGTGAATCTGGAGGTTCTTCATTTCCAGAACGTGCTTTAAGCTCTTCAAATCTTTTTCTAAGTGTAGATACGGAGCTTGCACAATCTAGGAAATACATCAGGGATTTGGATATGTCAGCCACACATACATCTTCAGCCACAAGAGAGAGACTCCTTAATATAACCCTGTGGTTTAGAAGAATCAGTGGTATGAAAACTACATGGACCTGGTCCTCTGGAGCCCATTTGACCCCTGATATTGTCTCCTTGACACACCTTTGGCTAAGATTCGTGACTCTTGCTCAGAGCTCAATATTCGGGATCTCGGCTGGGAGAGATGCTCTCCATTGAATTGGGTAATGTGTAATACTAAGATATGTATCTTGATGCCTGTATAGTTAGAATGGTCATCTACCTTCAGCTGTTCCTCAGTGTTTTTCTTCAGAGCCTCTTCAAACCGGTCTGCTTTGGCCTTAAGAGATTGATTCTGGAAGGTGAGGGTGTCTATCTGGTCCTGGGAGGGAAACACACCAATTAACACATCAACTGTGTTGTCAGCCCACTTACATTCATACTGGTCAGTCTGCACTGCCAAACTACCAGGGAAGCTAAATAAAGCTTAGGCACCCCTGTAAGGTGATATTTTTTTGTGTAAGGCCACTTGAACATAGAACGGGGTATTTGACAAGCCCCAGGGAATCACAAAATCCCTGTAACACCTGTGGCTGATGCTAAATCACCCCATCACCTTGTGCTGGATGAGAACAGACATGTCCTTCCTTGGAAGAGCTTTTTTACATAATTTATATCACATTTATATTACATGTATTTGTGTGGTCCTTGAAGTCCAAATGAGGCCAGAGATAGCTGTTTCCTCCCCCTTTCTAAGCTTCTAACACGGTAATAAGCAGTGATGAGTTAGTGGTGTGGGATTTAAATGACCATCATTTCATCTCAGAGATGAGAAAAACCATGGGAAAAACCATGTTATTTTAAGCAATCGTATTTCTGTTACCATCAAAGGCATTTCTATCTATACAACACCTGTAAAATCCACAGTTGCTGTGAAAATGGTATTTTTATCTTTCACAGTTGTGATTTCTTGTCTGGAACATTACATCAGTCCTTATTGCAAAACTGCTGACATGCCTCGAGCTGTCGCAGCAGTGCAACAATATGTGCTAGTCAGGGCATTTAAAAATTGTAATTAATCTCTGCCTGTGAAATCAAACAGGGCTTGCATTATTTGCTGTGGCATCTTTACTTGTTCACACATTTCCAAACGTAGTTTGTGTCACAGGGGCGCAGTTCTGCCCTCCACACCTTGTGATTTCTTCATCTAGGGAGCGAGAACAGCATGGAGTTTTTAGAAGGATTAGATGACTTTGACCTTGGTGTTAAGCAGTGGGATGTGGGAACTGCGATGTGCAGGGCTGACCCTGGCCATCCACAGCCTGGCTGCACAGGGGTCCCCCTTCTGCGCCCTGGGGGTGCCAGCTGGGGGGGATACCATGCAGAGCAGGTGATGCTCACAGCCACTGCAGGTGCCAGAGTCCTCCCCATCAAGCAGGGAAGAACAGCAGGGTCAAAGACATTTCTTTCTTTATCCAGATGCTTTTGAGTCCCTTTAAGTTTTCTCTCTCTTGTGAACCAGCCAAGGAGGAGGACAAATCCTGAGGGTTTGCTGCTCTATCCCAGGACAGGCAGAGCACAAGAGGTACCAGAGCAGGTAAGAGGCAGCAGCGTGGTGTGCTGGCAGCGGGCGGTGTGTCCGGGGCTGCCCCCAGCACCATTACAGGGTGGGAAATAAAGAAACTACTAACCTGGAGTGACAGACGCAGCTTTTCAAAAGTCTCTTCTAGTTGTGCCTTTTCCAGTTTGTGAGCAGTATTCAGTTCTGGAGAAGTGACACAGACATGACGTTACTGAGTGAAGTCCAGCAAACCAGAGCACACATATTGTGAACCAAGAGCAATTTGGGATGCAGGTTTAGGACATGGATATGGAACAGGAAACTGGTAGCAATATGCTCTGTGACCTTAGGTAAATTATTCTGAAAATCAGAATTTCCTGATTTTCCACTGTTTGCGGATACCTCCGTTTCTATGTGACCAGATTCTGATTTTCCAGAACTGCTCAGAATTCTCAGTTCCCAGGCACTCTGATCTGAAGAGAGTTAGTCTGACAATGGGACATTTGACAGTTCAGAGTGACTATCCCTAGATCAAAGGATTTAAAACTGGATACATTTAAAAGCCTGGGTTGCAATTTCTTTGGGGGGATAGAGAGGAGGGCCACCACCTGAGATGCAAAAATGCAAACAACAGTGCTTCTCCCCAGGCTGTGGTAGATGAGCTAAGAGGTTTATTCCAGTAGTGAGACAAGGGAAGACAAAAAGCTTGATTAAAGGTTTTTCTGCTAGAATAACACCCTGGGCATACTAATAACCAAAATTTCATTAAACAAAGTGAAATAAAGTTTAATCTCTAAAGCAACGGCATAAAATCATCACTCAGTGCAGTAGTAGCAGCTTTTTAGTATGCGGGCACTGTATTTTTTGTGTTTTCCCCCCCAAGGCCATGGGTTCTGCCCCCTAAGCCCTGCTCAGCAGCCACGGGCACAGCAGCGAGGATTCCATCGCTCCAGCGCCGGGCTCGCTCGCCCGCAGCGGCTGCAGTGCCTTTTCCAGGCACAGGAGGGCATCTCAGACCAGGAGCAGGGAGACCAGACTTTGCCCACCAGACCCTTGATGAACCGCAACCGAATTTTATCATCAGAAAGTACTAAAAAACCACGGAGATATGAGAATGTTCTCAAGCAAGAATCAGTTTTTTACTTATTTATTTTCAAAATCGCATATGTTAATTTACAAATGCTGTGCTAGATACCTTCTCTGCCCACAAGGGAGGGGAATAGACTGTTCTCAGTTCACATTATGCTCTGGACCATGTCTCTCTCTAATTGACACAATGCAGAGCTAAGCAATATGACTTGGTCTGGGAAACGTGGGAAAACCTACTAGAGATATTTAAAATTTAGAAAAAAATAGGGAGATTGTACAGATTACTGTTTAATATCAGCTAAAGCATGCACAAAGGCGTATGTTTAGACACTGAACTGGCAGAGAGGGAAGAGCTCTGTCTGCAGCATCAATCCTGTGGCCAAACAGTAACAACAAAATAAAGGCAGCAGTGCTGAGATGCAGATTTGTACCAGTGAGAGGCTTTGGTCTGCTCAGCATGGCCAGACATTTACTACTGGAAATAATGAGTCTTGTTTTTAGAAGCACTGTGAGTATTTAAGCACCTAAATTCAGAGATATCCCGAGATATATCTATCCTCCTGAACATCTGAGGATTAGGCTCTTGAAAAAGCATGTGTGCAAAGTGATGTGGAATTTGGATTCTATTTTCAGCAACACATAGAGAAAGCCTTATCTTTGACCCAGAGACCCCCCCCCTTCAGATAATCTCAGGTCAAAGTTAGATGCTGTAGACTGAAGACATCTCTCCCTCTGCCCTAGCATGAACCTGGTGGTCCACCCCACGTGAAAGCACTAGACCAACACAAATTCTGTGGAATCTACTCTGGAGGAAGAAGCACAGTGTCACTACAGCATTAATTCCTGCTCTGGAACAGCTGTGTAGCTGTTGGGTTGTCTTTGGCTTACCTTGAATCTTGCAGTCATTCTCATCCTGCAGTACTGTAATGGCCACTATGTGGTTGTTTTCCAACTGTGACATTGCAGCTTCATGTACAGCTGTGAGATCTTCCACCTGTTCCAACAACATGGACACATGGTTAGACAGACTGTGGCACACTGACAAACCACTGCTGGAGAGCTCCAGTGAGTGAGAAACAGCAAAGGGATCTACTGAATGTGACACTCCCAGCACTTGAGCCAGTTTTGTCACGTGGATACCTTGAATGGTAGCGTGTAGTCACTGCTGATGTTCTTTTGTTCTTTTAATTTAATGGTGATGAAGAGGTACATAAGAAAGCAAAAGGCCAAAAAGCCCTTAGGTGGAGATGTCCTCATTAAATGTTCAGAAGTCTTGACAGTCCGTTAATCTAAGTTATAATAATGACCACAGGCCATCATGGGAGCGAGGAGGGGAGCTGGAAGATGGTTGTGGGCACCCTATGGATTTGGGAGTCCTTCAGTACATTGCTTGTTACTCGACTTGGCTAAAGGCAAAGTGAGATCCCTAATGACGGCCTTTTTATATGAATCATTCAAGGAACTGCAATAAGAAATCCTGATCACGATTAAGAGCACTTTCTGAATGCAATGCATCAGTTTGCTTTTCTGGGGTTTGTAACCACAGTGATTTTATTCTCTACATTTAACACAATATTATCTGTGATATCTGGCAAGGCAGAGGATCAAACTATTTCACATTTACAGTGAAACAGCTGTTCTGTTCCTGGCTAAGTGAATTGACACTAAACAGCTTTATTTGCTCACAGTTATGTACATAATGGTAGAAGTTTACTACAGCTGAGTTTGCCTTGACTGGAATAAATGTTATTGCATTGCTTTTAGTTGTCAAACATATGTATTAAGTAACCCACCAAAAGCCAAATTTCCAACCATATTGGAGAAAACGTGCTCTCAGAATGAAAGTGGGGCATTTAACATGGAATTTAAAATTATTCAAATTCATTTTCATAATAATGTGGGTCATAACTCAGCAGTGAAGAACTGTTTGCAAAATAATGGGTACTCGGCCTTCTGATGTATTGCATGACAGAGCTGAGAAAGGTGGGGGGCAGATGACTCAAAGGGCTACTAATGGGGTAAGGGCTATCACCTGGTTTTTCCCAGAGCACAGTGTCCTTTGTATATGATGTCTGTAAGCTGAAGCTTCATGAGCATGGCCATGTTCTTTTCCTCACCCTTGCTGAAGCCTCGAGTTGTACTCTAATTGCTTCTCAACTGAACAGCACCCCATGGGGATGATTATCCTCAATGCCAACACCCCCAGAAAGGTGAAGGGGTCTCCTCTCACTGCCACCATCCTTGGCAAGTTATTTATCTGTAAAGCCAATTAAATACGTCCCAAATTATCTTTAGGGATTTTTTTGCCTTCTGTGTGTTTCATATCCACAACACAAATGACTCTCTTTAATCTTCCAGTGTGACGTCCTGTCTGCAGTTTTTCATGGCAGATAGTCAACTTGGCACTGGGAAGCAGCTCTCTTGGATGCTAATAACTTACTCTGCAGGCTTGATCACCTCACTTAACACAAGTCATGTTTATTTCTGGCTGTGGAAGGTACCTCAGGTGGGATTTTTAAGGCTTAATAAAGTAAAATCAAGAGGAACTCCAGTGGGAGGAGTTCAGTAAGCTGCTGGACAAAACAGCTTGAGCTGAGCACCTCAAGTGAGAAACATTGGCAAGACAGCCTTTACTTGGCAAGACAGATCACAGCCTTTACTTTGCAATTCTCCTTTAGCTGCAAGGAGATGTGAGAATGCACTGGCACACAAGATCACTTTGTGAGGAGTTTGTCTCTCATGCTCTGCTACCTCCTCAGAGACAGCTGAACCTCTAAAAGCTGACACAGAAACTGTGTCTCCAAACAAATAACTGCTGGTAGTGAACTAAGTGGTGACTAGAGCAATGCAGCATGGAAGGTTAAGCTATGACTGGAAACCATGAAAGTGGGATGGGTATCTTCCAAATTAGATTTACGGATAGAGGAATAGATGCAGATCCATGGTCAGAAGGATTTTGCTATTGTTATTGCCTTCAAGAATGCAAATTCAAGTCCCCCTCATGCAGATGGGTATCTCAAGGACAAGGCTTTTCTCATGTACAGTGTAAGAGCTCCATTTCCTCAGCCCAGAAACATTGTTGGTGAGCACCTTTCCAGCATGGCCTGTCAGCCTCCACTGATCCAAGAGCACCCAACATAGCATGGGTAGACAGCAGAGTAGGAATTCAAAGGGAAAACCTGCTAAAACTCATCATGCTAACTAACTATGAATTGAAAATGTGGGCTAAAACTCTGAGATACTAGGGTCACAGCTACACTTTCAAAGCAATGGAGAGGAATGCTTGTGTTATTTTCAGTAATCAGCAAACACAGAGCTTTGGAGCAAAACAAGAACTGTTTGCCCCGCAGAGGGAAAGATGTGTTTCCCTTGCTCCTCTGTGATGATGAATAGGGTCACAACAGATGAAAACATGAGAAAAATAAGCATACTTCTAGTGAAGTTCTACAATGACCTGTATCACCCTTTATTGCACTGATCAGCTTGAGAGGAGAAGAACCAACATCTGTTCTTGTGGTCCTGAGAGCTTGCAGAAGCACTTCAAAGAGTAGCAGAGCTAAACTATAAGCTATTTCAGCAAAAAATTAACAAATTCCTTCACAAATGCTGATGTCGGGTGATCCAGGAGAGGTGAGCCTTTGCAGCTAGAGCCAGCATCTTCTACCAGGCAGACTGACACACTGACTCAGTGCAAGGAAAAAAAATTGTCAAGGCTTTTGGGAACACGACCCCTCTTTCATATCAGAAAGAAAAGCAGAAATTTTGAAGGGCGTTGCAAGAAAACCAACTTGCATAAACTGAAATGAGAACAAGAAGACATGGCTCAGCGTAGGTTCTAACCATTTACAGAGAAATATTTTGAAAAATCTGATTTAGAACATGAAAATCTTTTTGATAGCACCTTCTAGTACATCTTTAGGAATCAGTTCATTAACAAAAATAGGTATTTTGTCCGGGACAAAACAGCCCAGTTGCATTGAGTTACAGTATTTGTTCTGACAAAACCAGACAAAAAGAACTGCTTGTGAGGATACTCCTGTCTACACACAGAAAGCAAAGCAAGGAGAAGCACTTGGGATGCACAATCCAAGAGATCAGACTGAGTGGTGGGGCATCAATCAGGTGACCCAGAGTGTTTTGCGTGCTTGTTTAGGCTGCATGTGTTCCATGGGTGCTATCACTTCACTGCCCTTTAACTCGCAAATAGCAATGGGCTGGCCCTGCTGGCCTTACCTGTGTGGAACAGGTTCTTATAACCCTTGGTTTAGTCATAAATTGACTAGTATAGGTGGGTTGAGGAGCAAGTATGTGTGGGCAGCAGAGCTAATCTTAGTGTTTTTATTGTAAAACATCAGCAAACATGTGAAGGTAAGACATGGCAATGTAACAGACTACCGTGTAGAAAAAAACAGTAGAACTAACAGGGAGAAGGAGCAGTAAAGTTATTCAGGATTACATTTTTCCACTCATTACCAGTGTCTTCACGTTGGAGTGTTCAATACATTTCATTACCTGAGCCCAATCAGTACTAGCATGGACTACTCTTCAAAGGCAACAGGTGGAGGCTGACCTGATCCTGGTGCTGCAACTTGGCTTGTTCCAGCTGCAGCCTGTGCTGCTCCTGCAGGCTCTCCTTCTTGGCCTTGTACTCCTCCTGCAGCCGCTGCTCCAGCGCCTGCATCTCCTCCTGCTGCTGCCGGCGGAGCTGCTTCCCCTCCTCCTCGAAGCGCCTCTCCAGCTCCTCCTTCTCGCTCAGTAGCTTCTTCCATCTCGCCGTGTTGAGGTCTGTGGAGACAAGACCACTCAGTCCTCACACTGCCCAGCACAGAGCAGTGGCATTGGACCTGTTTGTAGAGCAATGAGCTTGGTGCTTCTCTCCCACTCATACAAGGGATATGATTGACCACTTGACCAGAAGGATTTGTACCCCATACATCCTGATTTTGAGTTGTTCAAAGCTGCTCATCCCATAAACCTGTCTCCAGCTCCAGCAAGGATCATTCAAATCCATTAATGAACACTTGCTTAAAATATTTTTGTATTCAAACCACTATCTTGTGTGCTTCAGGCATCAGAGAGTACAATGAAAGGCTGATACTGAGGGCCATCAGAAAGTATGAAATTTTTACTCTAGTGAACTAACCCAGTGACTGTCTCAAAATTCACACCTCTGTTTTCCTAGTCAAGGAAAATCTGTCCATTTCCCCATGTGATTCCTCACCTTTATTGTCCCCCAGGTCCCAGGAAAGCAATGTCACAAACACTGTGTCCTCAGCCTTTTTCTTTGCTAAAGAACAGTTGCAAAAATCCAGATATTGAAGACTTGATACAAGCTAGAGAAGATCCACAAGAATACATTTACAGAGCAAGTTTGCTCACTTGTAAAGATCTAACAGGTAAGAAGTGGTTAAAATCATCATGACCATAACATTCAGAATACTAGAGAAGGAGAAATGAGTTTCTAATGGCACTGCTAGATCTTCTTGCTGGTTTAGGAAGATGATCAGGTTTTTGAACAATCTGACTGCATACTTATTCTTCCCTTGCCTTTCAAAATGCATGTGCCATGCATAGACCTGTATGGCACTGTAAGTCGGGATTGGGAGCAGCTGTCTCCCTGCTGAATGCTTCAAACCCATACTTATCCTATGACAACATATTTGTTCAATATCTGTATCTTCCTGCCTCTTTCTACTAGGGTGTCAGACTGTGCTTATTTTTCCCAGGATAGCAACAATTTGTCCAAGTTACCAGTGCTATCCCCACAGTTTATGTTAGGTGCACCCATGTCAAGGTAGTTTGGACACCCAAGCTAACCATTCCCTTCCCCACATAGCTATTTTTCACCCCATTCAGAGCTCTGCTTCCACACTTACTGGACATCAATATCCAAACTTGGTCAGTATGTCCAGACAGATAAACACCACTGGACTCCTGTTCTGATCCTGATACTTTCTGAGGCACTGTGAGGGACTCTGTTCCTGTCAAGCTCTCTGCTCCTTACGGAAAGAGAGTGAACCAGTGAGTTTAGCACCTCAGTGGCACCACATAGAAAGCTTTCCCACTTGTCTTCAATCCAGAATGGAATGGTACATTAGCTGTAATGTCTTGTCTCCTGGAAGTCTGGATTATAGCTCTAAACCTCTCTCTTGCTTTTTGATTTTTTATTATCTTTGGCATGTCAAGTGGTCCCAGAGCTGGAGGGGCTATGCTTGCAGCTCTGCCTTCAGTAGAATTCAAACTTACTCAAGCTTTAAATAGGAGATGTAATGAGCCCCATCTCTCTCCAGCCTCTCTAATGAGATTACCCAGCACACAGGGAGGGCTGGGCAATGAAACAATGTGCTTTAACCAAAAGAAAGTCCATCTGAAACACATCCTGTAATCTGAAATACAAGACTGTTCACAAATCAGACCCTGATGCAGGTGCAAAATGGAGGGAAGAGGGAAGCAGCGAAAGTGAGCTTGCATGGTATGATCCCCATACACCTAACAAGGCCACTGGAGGCAGAAAATGAGGCAATTTACCCTATATAGAATATTAAACACCTCTAATGAGAAGGAGTGATCCCTACCATAATTCTCAGACTAAGACAAATGAGGCTGAGGACTGAAGTGTTGAGGAAAAATGGAATCTCTTCTTAGTAGGGAGATGGACCTTTGGGCCTGGCTCTCCTGGGACAGACACAGCAGAACGCAGCACCCATGGAGCCCAAGGCTCTGCAGCTCTCCTGCCCGGGGAGCAGGAACCATGTGGGAGAGCCTTCCCTGCTGGAGCCAGCTGTGCCTTCAGCCTGTGGTCCTGGTGAAACAGCTGTGTCATCTCCAGCAGGGACCCCAGAACAGATGCCTGAACAGACCACCTGCTAATGCTGCTGGAAAACTGTGAATTTAGCTTTCAGGCATCAAGAGAAGGATACTGTTAAAGTGAGCTACTCTTGTAGGAAAAAAGGAAGAATGACTCGGAAAAGTTACACAAATGTATTACTGACATGGAACAAGATAAGCAGAGCATAACTATTACTGGTCTGTTGTGAAGAGTTAAACCTGAAAAAGAAGAGTTTTCTTTTTCCGTCTCTGTAGGTATCTCCATTGCTGCTTACAGCCTGGAAATGACTCCGACACAACGTGGCATTTCCTGGGATGACAGTGTGATGGGTAAAATGAGACCAGCTACTGCACTAAGTGCACAACAGATGAGCAAAACTCACTTCAGGCTGGGCTGGGAAGGTGAGGGAAAGGTGGATGTCACTACTGGACTGACCTTCCTTTCCCCACCAAACACAGTACGAGCCACAGGGCAGCCTCCCTAGCCCGGGCACTTTGCATTCAGGAGTGTATTCAGGATTCTTCTGTGGGAACTGGGGGCTTGTGTCTTGTGGCCTTACAGAGGGACTTGTTTCCTTCTTTTCCTTCCTTCCTCCTTCCTTATGAGAAATGTCAGATGCCAGTGGGCTCTTCTTCCTGACCCTTGTCCCCAAAATTGCAGACAAATCACAGCCACCACACTCAGGTTAAGTGTCCTCTGACTGGGAGGCATATCCAGGAGGAGATGGCACAAAAGCTTCAAAACTCTTTGAGAACACAGATAATACAAATTTTAAACTTGACATCTCACTGCCTTTCCTTCATCTTGGTTTTTATGCATCTCCATACCTCCTCTCAACACACTTCACATCACTGGTCTGACAGTAAAGGAGCAGGTAATTTTGACATTTAATTTCCACTAGTTTGAAGGGAAACAGCTGGCATTCAAAACCTCTTTATTGCAAGAGACTCAGGGTTGCAGCTGAAAAGTGCTTATATTTATAATTTATAATTTATAAAGATTGGTGTCTTGAGTGTAGAATGGTTGCTTGTCATGTTTTCCTAGCCTTGCTATTTCTAGCAAAATACATGAGCAAAACTTGTTGCTTTAAATAACAAGTCCCTCAGTGTTTATAGAGGCCAAGATTCCTCCCCAGGACTGGGAAGGGAGAATCACTTTTCTATTTCACTCATGCTGGTTTCAGATGCAGTGTGATACTTGCACAGGAGTGCTGGGGGTAAAAGTGGACACTGTTGTCTGAACCTCAATATTTTGCCTGGCTCCAGAAGGATGCAGGTCTCCCTAAGCTATTTTTACATGTGGTCCATCTCTGCTATTGCTTCAGCAGTGGTTTTATTTACCACAAGAATTTTCCTTAAACATATACTCTTACTTTGCTGAAGAGTGGGTTCTCTGTTGCAGTTTCATTGCTTTGCATAGCAGAAGCTTGTAGTTTCTGTTGAAGTTAAAGACTGCATGCTGCAAAAACCAAGCACATTCAGCACCCAAACTCTGAATTACAGCTATTGCCTGAACAACTAAGTGTTGGACCCACTGCTTGTATCAAAACTGGCTAGTCCAGCCTTGTTTTACTGATTCATTCGGGCATTTATATCAGTGAGTCTGACATGGTGAATTTATACATGAAAAATCAGGAATTTCTGACGAACTCCCATGCTGTTTAACTAGTTATTTTTAAATTAATGAAAAACTACTTTTTAAAGTGACGGAGGCAAGTCAGAACTACAGCTTGGTTGTAGTCAAAATAACACACTCTGATTTTCCCTGAATTTCTTCATAGAATGACCCAAGATTGCTGTTGCCACATAAAGGACTGTTTCATTCTTTAGTTGCATAAATCACATACAATGCTGTACCACACACTAATTCATCTGATAGTGAGACCAAAACAATCCTCCTATAGCACAGGAGGGCTGCATGTCTCCAGTAGCACCCTCATGTCTCCAGTAATAACCTCAGCTTGAACTCCTTTAGACACTGCAAAGAACTGCACTGATGAGAAATGCTCTCATGTACATGGCATTTATTTCACATTGTCCACAGTTTTACTATTTCACAGTACACAGTTTTTTTATTTCACAAAAGTAAGATTTGTAATTTTATACCAAAGGAAAGCAGACTGCGCAGCAATTTTTTACTTTTACTAAAAAGCTTAGTCACTTACCTTCAATATGTAGAGATATACATTAAGCTTTTTATTGCTGATGAATTATTTCACAGTCTGCTGAAGTGCAACAACTGCACATGTTCATCTTTTTGTTCATCCCTACTGGCAGTGCTTCTAGCTGGCCATGTTGCATGTCAGGGTTGCACAGAGAGGATTACCTTCACCAAGCAGGTGACCAGCCATCTGTGTCACTCACAAACAGCCTCTGCTTTGCATCTCCATGTCTTCCAGAGTGATGGGAGCAGGAGGTGGCCTGTAACGACTCTTCTCCATTACACATGCCCACAGGACCACTGAGGAAAGGACTTTCTCACACCATCTTCTCCCTTTCTGAGGAAGAAAGCCCATACGCATCTACAGCTTATCTCCCTTCTATAGCAGTACTGCTCAGGCTGCTTTTCTGGGGTGTCTGTGGTTCTTACTGCCCCTACATATGCCACCAAGACTTAGCTTTATGCAGAGGAGGTGTCTGTTGCTGCATGTGCAAGGGTGATGGCAAGGGCAGGCAGAGCAGCGATCCCCTGTTACTGAGCGTGCTGCTCTGTGACCCCCCAAACAGACACGCAGTTACACCCATGGCAAAGTTCTCTTCTCCAGCAAAACCACCAAGGATTTGTATTCACTCCAGCTGTACAAACACGGTGTAAATGGAAGCAGAGCTCCTTATCTCAGGCACCAAACCTCTCTTTCTTTCCCATGTCACCTCCACATAAAAAAGCACTCATGAAAATGTGCAAACCCAACCTGCTAGATTGAGGTAGGGCTTTCAGATGAGTAGTGGCTATTGAACCAAGAACTTCAGATGTGCCCTACCTGAAGAAAGCACCAGTGGCAACAACTCTTCTGTAAGAGCCCTAGAGATGCAGAGGATGGAGGAAGGCAGGCATCAGGAAATAACTGGAAACCTATTTTGCTATTGCTGCAGTATACATTGGCCATGGGGACAATAAAGCTCTCTATGAAATGACAATCAGCCAAAGAATTTCAGGGGTGCAAAGCAGGGAGCAGAAAGATGCCAGGCATCTGAAAAGGGCTGTGTTCAGCTTTTCTGAAGTGGGCTGTCATGGGCAAGATGAAGGCAAAGCAGAGGGAGGATCTGCAGTTCTGCCCATCCCATGAGGGTTTGGCCGGAGCCTCCCTTTGCTGGCCACGCCATGCTCTGGCCACATAACACAGTCTGCTTAATGGGTGACCCAGGAGCCCACACACAGGGAAAGCTGAGAGTTCCCCCTATTCACAGCTCCAGTCATCAGTGGTTCCAACACCTTTTGGTACTCTAGGAGTCCCCTGACACAGTGGTCCTGCTCTCCATTTGCCCTGGGGTAGATGAACTCAACATCACACTCATTCTGGAGAGATTTAAGCCCAGAAGAACTGAGCCTGAAGCCAGAGCAAAAGCCCATCACTCTCAGGAGTGGCAGTATCTTTACACTCTCCTGTCTAGGTCAGAAACTAAGAAGGAAAAGGAGCATGCAGATATACAGAGAATACACAAACCAAATGGGACACATTGCTCTTTCTATCTTTCAACAAGGAAGAGACCTTAGAGACATTAACAAGCAAATTCTGAGCTTGGTGTCCTTTGGTTTGTAGCTGAACTGCAAAACACAGCAATGTTCCTAAGTTCAGTGATGCATTCCCAGGCACTGTGCACTGCAGTGGTCCCAGGCTCCCACTTCTCATCATGCTGTACTTTCTCCCAGGCAGTGCTGGTGCTTGAGGACAGACGCTACGGATTTATGGAGAACAATTTGTTTAGCAAAGATGATGCACAACTGGCTGCAGTGTGTGTGGTAATGAACACACCCGCACAGCAAAGAGGTGAAATCAAGGCTCCCTGCAAAGTCACAAAACCCTTTGCCACTGGGCTTCAGAAAACACTTCATCACATGTATGGAATTTCCCCAGGGTCAGGTCACAGGGAATCATCATCTGCTTTCATGCAAAGTGAGAAAATCACTTTGTTGTTACTTTTCTTGTACTACTTACCAACTTCCTCCCTGATCTTTGCAAGCTCGACTCCTAACTCCTTTATTTTCACAAGGGCATTTTCATTCTGTTTAAGGAAAAAGAGAGAGAAATATGTATAGTAGCCAGGTTTATCCCAGATAAGAACTTTCACGTGTTCATTTAGTAAAGCAGATTAGATTGATTCCCCATGCTACTTTTTCTTTTTTTTTTTTTTTTTTTTTCTTTTAGGTGAGGGGAGTGGGATTATAATGAACTCATTCAGTTTTTAAATCCAGCTTAGGAGCCACAACTCATTGCCTACAAATACCTTGTATGCCTAGGAGTACATGTACACAAACTCACATGCACACAACAGTGCAGAATACTCTATTTACTCCTATGTATCTAAAAAGACATCTGTATTTTTTAATACTTTTGTGGTCAGCCTGCATACCATTTATGGCTGGACTGCATGTACAAGATGGATTTATTAAAATTGTTAATTTTTTTTCATGTATTTAAGTCTGCATTTAACCATCTCCAATCTTATTAATACGTTCACAGAGTTAAACTTAGAGAGGAGATTGCTGTACTCACACCATTCTATGCCCAGTGAACATTCCCATACAAACGCCACTAATAGCCTGATGTTCATGTCTATCTCCACATCTGTTTCTGTGATTCTATTTATTAGGGCTCCTTGCCTTGACTAGTCTCAAAAGAAATCTGAATATTTAAGGAGTAAAACAACTGAATTGGCTAAAGGAAAATGAAAACATATTTACATGAGCAACATTAAGGTGTTATTACCAAAATGCAAGGACTTTGACAGCAGATATCTATCTGACTAGTGCTGTGCAAACTGACAAACAAAATTCTTGTCTCCATCCACTGGAGTCTGATTTAGTACAATAAATCCCAGCATAGTGGTTCAATCATATGGGCACTTTAAATTGGGATGTATCATGAATCATATTAGAAAGAAGACAAAGGAATGTACCCTGCTGGGAAGATCACTAATGATTAATAAAACTAGATCAGGTTACTATAAATATGTTCCAGGTTAGAAAAGGTCAAGAATCCTTAAAGGACACTACAGAGAAATCATATTCAAGAGAAAAAGCAGTACAGTAGTAAATTGAATTAAAAAGAGTCCTAAAAACTAAATCTTTCCATATTAAGCAAGCAAGGCTAATAAAAATCTAGGGCACAGACAGGATTAGTTTGGCTGCAGGATACACAGTAGATAAGAGAGCAAGTCAGTTCTATATTACAAAAATGGAAGTGGAAAAAACCCAAAATATTTCAGAACTTAATGTTTCTGTGTAGTTTTCCTGCACCTACCTTTTAACTCTGTTAAGACAAGTGACACAACTTTATTTCTGGTAATACCAGAATAATAGAATCTGGAATTTGAATTAATCCTTTACATACTGCCCTTTTGGGATGATTTCCACCAGATCCAAAGGACACACTTCCCAGAAAATTTGCTGTAAATGGAGTGATAAACTGAACTGATTTGAGAGCCTTGAAGGCTTGAGGAGACCCAAATGATGTGGGCATCTTTCTTATTCAGTGATGGGAAGAAGCCAGGAATGCAAGGCCTGGCTCCTCCAGTGACTCCTCCTGCCTCCATACCCTGCTGAGTAATGCACAGGGGGCTGCGTGCCAGGACTGCAGACTATCCAGTCCTGACCAACCTGCATTAGGCTCAGAATAAAATTATGTGCCTTCTTATGGATTTCTTTTTCCTAATTAGTCAAAAAGTTACGGGGAAAAAACCCAAAAACTCCAGGTAAATAGAGCCTGATCTATTAAAACACCAGATCGCTTCACACAGAATTCCCAAACCAGCAGCCTTACAAGAGTAAGATTTCCCCTTTTGGAGAATACCATTGCATCTGCCCATACTGTTTAACTCATTGGACTTAATTTAAGAAGTGCTCTTGACAGACTGCCAGGCCTGGTGCCCTTGAAGGCACAGGGATATACTGGATGCTGGACTTGCACATAGGGAGCACCCACTCAAATTACCAGCTCTCATTCTTTGAAACAAAAGCCACTCAAAGCAAGAGAGCTGTGCACAAATCATTACCAGCACCTATAGATAAGCAGAACTCAGTGGGATTGTTACTATTCTCTTTACATTAAGAAAATTAAAAGCAAGTAAAAAAACTACTTTTTTTTGGAGAAAAAGTGTTTAAATTTTTGATCGCCCCATAAGTAATATTACAGGTTTCACATTTTACATGATGTTTTATCTTAGATAAGGTTTTTCCTATCCTTAAGGATACTTGGTGGCAGGATCTTCTCCAAAAATGGGGGGAATTACCATGGTGTCAGCTTAAAAATGCTATCTCATAACTCCAGCTCCAGCATGGACACCAACCCACCAGGGCAGCAGGGGCGATGTCTGCCTCTCACCACAATAGGGCTGTGGTTTCCAGAGCAGAGCAGCCCCTGGGGCTACCTGGGGCAGCCAGATCAGCACAGCTCAGATGCCTTCACTGTCATTTTACTGCTCTGCCAATACTTCCTGCATTGTGTTTTATTTTGGTCAGAGCTTCCTGTGTGCTCTTTGGGACTTCACACTTATGCTTCCTGGGAGATCAGATGTGCAAGGCCCTCATTGACAAGGTTTCAAGAAGTCCCTCTTACTCAGAGAGTTCTTCTAGAGAGCAACAGCATGAGTGCTTATCTTCTACTTGTGGAAGAGAAGTGAGGTGTAGTTTTGGCTGAAATCAGCCTCATGGTTTCCTGGATGTGCAGTGAGTTCACAAAACCCTGACATCTTCTGTAACTGCAACCTGCTTTGTCAGTGTGACATGATAGGTTTGGACTGCACGTGCTCCAGCGACAGTGTAAACACGACAGCAATGCAAAACAAAAAAGCCCCTGCTTGTTATCATCAGTATCTGCAGATAACCAGCACCCCCCTGTCAGTGTAGCCAGGGAACTGGGAATGCCAGCACTAAGGAAACCAAAGATTACAGTAGAGCAAATCTGGATCTTCTGACTTTGGAATGTAAAGCTATCACATTCAGTGCCGAGATTCCTTTACATCCACCATCAGAACATCACAGCAATTCAAAAATTCACAAGCACACAAGGAAAAACATCCCCAAAACAAATGGATAAGAAACCGAGTCAAGAGGATGTCCCACTGGGTTAATCAATCTTCATTAATATTTATCTCAACAAAGTATTTGAAAGAGAAGGCAGGGTAGGCAGCTGTCTACCACCGAGTTTTGTGTCCACTAAGGCTCAACATCTCAAAGGAGCTTTGTAGGGATTCTCTTCTAGGTCACCACTTGGAGCTGAGCCATTGAGGGTGAGCATCCAAGGGCCAAATCTAACTTAGGTTTAATAAGGTTCATCATCTGTACACACCTGTTTTCAGTAGGTAAAAAGACCAAAGATCCTGTAAAGGGATTGTGCAAATTTCCAGTGCAGCAGTTAAATGGCAAGGAAGAAAAAAATTCTTTGATGTGATCTGGAATTCTTTTTTTTATGCCCAAAAATGTGAAATCAAAACAGTGTGTTTAGCACAAATTAAAATGTTGCATTTACTTTTCATGTACTTTTAATGAATGACGGACTGCATTACTTTTCAGAAAAATGATGACAAAGGTCTTCTGTTGGCTCTATCCCAAGAAATTACTCTGATAGTGAAGTAATTTTCATAAAATAAGATTACACTCATGATGGAGGTGAAAAAAACTTCTTCCTCATTCCTAAACTCTGCAACATAAGCATTAAGTCTTGTGACTGGAATATGACCCATCTCCTCAGACAGAAAGAAAAGTAGAATAAAAGAGGTAGAATGATGTGTTTGCCCTACTGCTCTGTTGAATAAAAGACACAGTAACAACTCTTTCCTATCATCAGCTCTATAGCATACAGACCTCCTAATATTTCTCCTGTGAAAGGCTTGATACTGGACAGCATTTCAGCAAGTGAAACAGACACTGAAAATGGCACATGTGACTTCTCCATTCAACTCAAAACATCCTGAGGATGGACTGAGGCATGACCTACACTGGTGCAAGAGCTCCAGAAAACAAGGCAGAGGAGTAGGAAGAGAACAGGAATTTGTACAATTAAGTAACAGTGGCCAAACCTAGCAGTGTAGCTCAGAAAAATATCAGCTGAATATAACCACATGCAAGGACCTTGGAAAATAACTTGGTAGGAGACGTCATAATACGGACCTGAGGATGGGAAAGATGCTGGCTTTGTTCAAACAGATTAAGAGAGGAGGTAGTGATGAATTGTGGGCAGAGGCTGAATGGGGCACTGGGCAACCTGATCTCATTGAAGATGTCCCTGCTCATTGCAGTGGTGTCGGACTAGATGGTCTTTAAAGATCCCTTCCAACCCACACTATTCTGTAATTCTGTGGTCCTATGAAAGGCTCTGCTTTAGTTGCATGGAGCTTCAGATGACAGGTAGATATCCTCAAGGACACATCATCAGAGAGACAAGTCAAGATTTTACCTTGGACCAGGAATAACTGAGGGATGGGGAGGTAGATTTGGGGTTTGTCTTAGAGTCTCTCTCCTCTGAGAGCTACAACCTAACTGAAAGGTACAAATGAATTAGAAATAGTAATTAAGTAAACCTCCAGGTACTTTTTAACAATAGGTAAGTAATAGTAAGTACAAATGGGTCAGATAAGGCAAGGAATGCCAGAAAATTGCTCAGATCCACAAAGAAAATCAGCAGCAGCTAGGAAACAAACCTGGGAGCCTGGAGTTATCTTCCCAAATTGACAAGACTCTCCACCCTGCCAACTTGTTTGTTTATATTCTAAGATCCAAATGCATGTACAGTGTCTCCACTGTACAAACACTTCTCAGTTCTCTACAGTATCTCCTAAAATATCAGGAGATGCTGAGATGCTCTGTGGCACTTGCTATGAAAACTGCTCCCCCAGTTTCTCCAGTCTTCTATGCAGAGCTTTCAAAATACTAAAAAAAAAAAAAATCCTTGACCTGCAAATGGTGCTTAGTCACTGTTGTGATGTATTCAGGCTTCCCTGTGGCAAGGTGTTATATTATAATCGAAAAGAGAAACATATACACTGGGAATTCTCTTGTACCAATA